CAGGAAAGTTGATGTTTCGGGTAGGGAAACGTCAACTTTCCTGCTCCGCTGATGCTGCCTGGCCTTCTGTGTTCCTCCAGCTCCACACTGTTATACAGTACTGGACTGCTTTTCTTGTTAGATATAAAACTTTCATTACTACTGAGTGGCATAATACTGGTTTGGGGAGAAAGTAAAATTCCACAAATATTAACACACTTTGTTCTAATTGACTGAATTAACTTTAGCGCTCTGATCATGTTCAACTTTCCATGTATTTGTGACATAGACAAATAAAGTTCAAGTTTACTTACAGGACCATTTTCTTCCAGTTCTCCTTTACCTTCTTCAAGTGTGACATAATCCCCTGAAGTAGTACAGTGCAAAGACAGACGTCCTTTCTTAGATCGCTTGTTTGGATCCATGACTGGATCTTTGAAAACATTTACCTGAAAATGAAAGAGGTCAATTTACAGAATTAGGAGTACAATTTTTAACATGAATGAGAAAGCAGCTGTTATTATGAAAACACCCACACAAATGTCAAAAGATAAATTCATGATGTCAGGTCACACTAGGATTAGCAAGATTCCAGGTTCATAAATGCCACCCAAACAATCACCATTGAAAAGTACATTGAGTGTTGGCAGACTGTTATTCATCAATGTCTTCTCTCGCGCTGAAGAAAGGCAATGTACCGATGTCATTTTAATCATAATCTAGCAAGCATTAACTGTGGAACACAAGCAGTGAATCCATAAAGAATTAGATAGTTACTTCTGAGAGGAATATTAAAAAGGATGTGGAAAGTGGGGAGGACTTGGCTTATATTGGGAATCACGTGAGAAAAAACTGGCATAAATATGTGTATTGTTCCACAAGATGTATCTAGTTATACTATTGTTTGTCAACAGAATGGTGTAAAGTCTAAAGCTTCATACTGCAGGATTTGGGTATACGATCTGAGCTGAGAACTCAGATTATGTAGCCAGAATGAGCACTAAACATACTGGCCTACAGGTATTTCTGCTATGTGTTTTGTTAACGCAAATTGGCTGTAACGAGATTGATGAATATTGGATGCTGTTTGGATAACGCAAACTTTCTGCTGTACAGGTATAGCGATTTTCTATTGCTATTTCCCTATGATGTCATTTTCCATAGTGCGATGTTATGCAAGAACACAACTATCACATTATAGGAGGAATACCTGTACTTAACTTATTCAGGAAATCAGCTCAAACAAGTCTATACATCGATTAACTAAGGGCATGATTCAAATATTGGATATTGAGACGTAACATTCAATGTCAAACAAAGTAATTTCTCTACCCAAACCTAGAATTGTTTTTAAGTACGACTCAATATAGAATAACATACCCCAAGTCCATTGGTTACTACATAACTGCATTTGAAGGAACAGTTCAGGAGATCTCTGGTCATTTTCTGCAATAAAGCACCACCAGATCCAAAGGTAATGTTCTCAATGCTCCATTTATGTGTTTTCATTCCTTGTACGATCTGAAAAATAACATAATACTTTCTGAACTACAGACAGATAGCCCTATAAATACACCTATTGTTAAATGAACTAAGACATGCAGAATTTAATCAGTAACAATCCAGTACTGACTTCATAGATAGATTTAGTGAAGGACTGAGGAGTGGGTGGGGTGAAGAGAGGAGTTGTGTGCGCAATGGTAGTGTTCCTACTCTGGGCCAAGGGGCCAGATTGAAGTCCCACCTGCTCCATATTTATGTCATAACATATCTGAACAGGTTGATGAGAGATATCTGGATGCATCCAGTTTTTTTTTTTAAACCATCTAAGCTGAAGTCCTTTCCAATTTAATCAAACAATTTCAGATTTAAAGACAATTTTCACATTACTTTTAATCGCTTGAACCTGTGTCCCAGTGTCTCATTTCCATGGTTTAACTCTGGATTTACTATTATTTCAACACTATTTGCAATTCATATCTGAAAAAGCCATAATGCCAGCACTTTAATGTCTACCCATTACAACAACCAAAACTGGACACAGTATTCAAAGCATATCCAGACCAAAATCACTGCATAGTTTGATCTATGTTTCTTTTGATTTAAAATCTCTGCTTTAGATATGTAGAACCATTGGCCATGTCAGTTTTATTGTCCAGGAATTCATTTGATTTAAATTGTGAATAAAAGTGGACAGAACACAGAGAATGTGTGAAATTAAACAGAAACACCAACAATGGAGCAGCAGTAGGTCATTCAGCCTTTAGAGCCTACTCCACCATTCAATATGATCATGGCTGATCATCCAACTCAGTACCAGGCTCCCGCTTTTCTCCCCCTATACCTTTTGATCCCTTTAGTCTCAACAACTGTATCTAACCCCTTCCTGAAAACATTCAATGCTTTGGGGTCTCCAGCGGTTTCTGTGACAGAATTCCACATTGATAGATTAACATTTTATTGTATTTAGAATGAGTGTAAAAAATTCACCAAGTTCTACTCCCTCATCATTATTGCCAGCTTATATTGACTCCTAGCCTCAGGTTTAAAAAAATTGTGTTTAAAGTTCCTCAATGGTTTCACTCATCTACTATTATTATAACCACCTGCAGTGACCTGCAACAAATTCTGTTCTACTAACTCAGATGCCTTCCACTGACCCCACCTTTGGCAGCCATGCATTCAGTGATTATAGGTCCATGCTCCTAGAATGCTAGCCATAAATTCTCTCCAGTATCGTCTTTCTAAGTCCTCCATAAAACCACTCCTCTCACCTTCTGTTTGTGTGAAATAGATGCTGCTGCAGTTCACTTAACCACTCAAAGCTGTCTTTCAATTATGCAAACAGTTTAGGTCAAAACAGTTATTAAGGGGTCTTGAGAAAAAAAAAGAAAAAAGAAAATCTAGTGCTTGCAATTACTTTGCTAGATTATGCACTCTTACCTCTTGCAGAGTGTTTATATCCACACCATCTCCCTGAATAATTCTCAAGAAAGGAGGAAGCACCTTATAACCTTTAGAATTCTCAGTTGGTGGAAATTTCTTTCCCAGGATTTCAAGAACCTGTTAGTCGGAGAATAGACATTTTAATTAGACAACACAAATTCAAAGATCAATAACTTAATTTCAAGCAAAGTAACTCTTTCAGAACAATGAATCAGTTTTATAGCTAATAGTCATTTATTACTTCTCCCCAATCCAACTTGAACAATATGGAGTCAGAACAGACCAGTTAAATTTTTTTTGGAGGGGGAAGGAAGGAGAGAAAGTTTGCATCTGGAATAGAATCCAAAGAATAACAACATTCAAAAAGCTCTGTTGATATTGCCTGACACACCTCAATCCAGATCAGAGTTGGCAAGCTGGCTACTTTGAGTGCCAGCACCTGATAGCTTTCATCTCTACTGTCAGCACAAAAAAAAGAGACAACACCTGTTATGTCACTGTTCTTAGATCTCCTTTAGAATGCTCATGAAGGATACACATCCAGTGGCAGAGTTGATTTTGAAAACCACAAAAAAAAGACAAAATTGTTAGTGCAAAAAAGGAGACCATTTGGCTGATCATGTCTACACTGACTCTCCAAATAAGCATGAATTAGGGCCATTCTCTCGCACTTTCCCTGTAAAAGCTGCACAGTACTTCGGTTTATCATGGAAAAACCCTCTTGACTCACGTCCAGGCAGCACCTTTCAGATCTGAAACATTTGTTGCGAGAGAAAGTTTCTAACATCGCATTTAGTCTTTTGCGAATCACTTCTATTTTGTTGTTCCCTCTTGTTCTTGATCCTTATACAAGTGGGAACAGTTTCTCCCTATCTAGTTCTATCATAACCCTAGATGGTTTTGAGCAGCTCTATCAAATATATCCTCAGCCTTCTCAGCAAGAAGAGAGAGTCAGAACTGAAGTTTCTCCTTCCTGGAACCATTCTTGTAAGTCTCTTCTGCACTCTCTTCAATGCATTCACAGAAGTTTCAGAGGGATATGGGCCAAATGCAGGCAAGTGGGATCAGTTTAGTTTGTGAAACTTGGTCGTCATTGACGAGTTGGACCATAGGGTCCGTTTCTGTGTTGTATGACTAACTGAGCACAACACTCCATCTAAGGTTTTCTACTGTCTCATACAGGTTCAGCAAAACTTCCCAATTCTTGTATTCTCTGCCAAGTGTTGCGTATGCTTTGTTGACTGCTCTCCACTTGTCCTGCCATTTTTATGTACATATATATCCAGGTTGCTCTGCTCCTGCACCTCTTGTAGAATCCTACCCTTTATGTTGTACTGTCTCCATGTTCTGCCCACTGTAATATATCATATCACACTTCTCTGCAATTAACTTCCTGTTATTTACTTGTCCAGCCTATCAACTTTCCAAGTCCCTTTGACTTCTACTGTCCTTACAAAACCTGGAAATTTTGCAAACTATGTGCAAATTCTGAAACTGTCCCCTACACACCAAGATCTGGAGCATTTATTTATATCAGGTTGGGGAGGCGATGCCCTAGTGGTATTATCGTGAAACAATTAATTCAGAAACTCAGTTAATGTTCTGGCAAGTGGTGAAGTCAAGAAAACGTATCTGGAATTAAGCGCGTACTAATGACAATGAAACAAATCGATTGTCAGAAAACCCAATCTGATTCACTGATATGTTTCATGGAAGAAAATCTGCCATCCACACCAGGTCCAGCCTACAAGTTACGCCAAACCCACAACAATGTGGCTGACTCTCACCTGCCGTCTGAAATGGCCCAGCAAGCCACACAATTGTATGAATCATTACAAAATCTCGAAGAAACAAAACCAGACAGACCACTGGAATCGACCCTGCAAACATTCTTACTAACATCTGAGAGCTAGTGCCAGAAGTGGGAGAGCTGTCTCACAGACTTATCAAGCAACAGTCTGACATTGTCTGTAAGGTATGATTTCACGAGTATGACTATGTCCCAGATACGCCCTGATCATCTGGAGGACAGACCTAAAGCGGGTAGTAGCACAATGGTATACACAGTCAGGAATAAGTTGCCCTGGCTAGTTCTCAACATTGACTCCGGATCCCATGAAGTCTCATGCCAACAGGTTAAACATGGGCAAGAAACCTCCTGCGGTTTTCCACATATCATCCCTCCATCAGCTGATGAGTCAGTCCTCCTCCATGTTGAACAACACTGGAAGAAACACAGAGGGTGGCAAGGGCATAAAATATTCTCTGAGTGGGGGATTCAATGTCCACCACCAAGAGTGACTCAGCAGCAGCACTACTAATTGAGCTGGGTGGATCCCAAAAGGGCATTGCTGCCAGACTAGGTCTTGAGCAGACGATGTGGGAACAAGAGGGAAAAAATACTTGACTTCATCCTTATCAATCTGCTGGCTGCAGATAGTCCACGGCAGTATTGGTAACAATGACCACTGCACAGTCCTTATAGAGATTAAGTCCCACTTTCACATAAAGGATATCCTCTATCATATTGTACAGCACTATCACCACGCTAAGTGGGACAAGACTGCAAACAGATCTAGCAACTCAAGACTGGGCATCTACGGGGCGCTGTGGGCCATCAACAGAATGGTACTCCAGCACAACCTGCAACCACATGGCTTGACATATCCCACACAACCATTATCAGCTAGCCAGGGGATCAACCCTAGTTCAATTGCGAGTGTAGGAGGGCATGCCAGCAGCAACATTGCACATACCTAAAAATGAGTTGTCAATCGGTATCAAACAAGACTAATCTAATGGCAAACAACATAAGCAGCAAGTGATAGATGAAGTCAAGTGATCCAACAACTAACGGATCAGATCCAAGCTTTGCAGTCCTGCCGTATCCCATTGTGAATGGTGGTGGACAAATAAACAACTCACTGGAAGAGGAGGCGGCTCCGCAAATATCCCCATCCTCAATGATGGAGCAGCCCAACACAGCAGTGCAAAAGCTAAGGCTGAAGCATTCATGGAAATCAACCAGAAGTGCTGAGTGGATGATCCATCTCAGCCTCCTCCAACAGCTCCCATAATCCCAGTCTTCAGCCAATTTGACTCAGTCCTTGTAATATCAAAAAGTGGTTGGATGCATTGGATATTGCAGAGGCTACGGGCCCTGACAACATTCCAGCAATATTACTGATTGCGTTTCAGAGCTTGCCATTCCCAAGCCAGTCTGTTCCAGTACAGTTACAATACTGGCATCTACCTAACATGGAAAATTGTCCTGGTATGTCCTGTATATAGCAAGTCAAATCCAACCCAACCAATTACCAGCACATCAATCTACTCTTGATCATCAGTAAAGTGATGAAAGATGTCATTAGTGCTATCAAGCAGTACCGCTCATTAATCTACCATTTGGATTCTGCCACAGCCATTTCGTGCCTTACAGCCTTGGTTCAGACATGGACAAAAGAGCCAAATTCCAGAGACGAGGCAAGAGTGACAGCCCTTGACATCAAGGCTGCTTTCAACAAATTGCGGCATCAAGGAGCCCAAGCAAAACTGGAATCAGTGGGTATCTGAGGCAAATGGCAAGCTCTGAAACAAATAGTCAGGAGTATTGCCGGAATGTTGTCTGCTCATTGGAGTCATATCTGGCACATAAAAGATGATGGATGTGGCTGATTGAAGTCATCCATCTTAGCTCTAGGACATCTCTGCAGCAGTTCCTCAGGGTAGTGTCCTAGGCCCAACCATTGCCAACTACTTTATCAATGACCTTCCTTCCATCACAAGATCAGAAGTAGGATGTTCAGCACCATTCATGACTCCTCAGGTACTGAAGCAGTCCACGTTCAAATGCAACAAGACCTGGACAATTTCCAGGCTTGGGTTGTCAAGAGGAAAGTAACATTCACGCTGCACAAATGCCAGGCATGACCTTCACCAACAAGATGATCTAAACACAGCCTTTGACATTCAATTGCACACTAACAAAATGCAAGAGGGTCACCATTGACCAGAAACTCAATTGGAGTTGCCATATTTTTATTTTACAACAGTGACAAGAGCAGATCAGAGGCTAGGAATACCATGGCGAGTAATGCACCTCCTAACTCCCCAAAGCCTGTCCACCATCCACAAGGCACAAGTCAGGAGTGTGACGGAATACTCCCTACTTACCTGGATGGGTGCAGCTCCAACAACACTCAAAATGCTTGACACCATCCAGACAAAGCAACTTGCTTGATTGGCACCACTCAAGTTTCAGTGGTGCGTACTATACAGAAGGTGCACTGCAGAAATTCCCAAGATCCTAGGCATAGGCAATAAATTGCTGGCCAGCCAGTGACACTCTCATCCCACAAGAGAATAAAATAAAAAGGCTACCAAACCAGCTTCTGCAAAACTCCACCACAAACCTTCATCCAGGCGAAGATCCGTTAAGCATTGCTCTCAAGACCATCATTCGACCAATTTTGTATCTGTTGCGGTCCCTTTTATTCGAAGCTATAAAACTTCTCAAGTCAGACGTACGGCAGTGTCAAATGCTTTTCAGAAGTTAATGTTGACCACATCAATTGCATCATCCTTAGCAACCCACTCTATTCACAGAATTCCTCTTTCATCCCATTGAGTCTGCACCGATTCTCCAATGAGATTCCACACAGACAGCTACCCAAAGCTGGAAATGAACCTTGGTCCCTGGCGTTATGAGGCAGCAGTGCCACTGTACTGCCCCACCTACATGCTGAAGTTACCTCAAAAAGAACTCCAACACATTAGTTCAAAATGATTTACATATGAAAAACCAAGCAATCTCTTCTCAATTAACTCATTTGTCAAGTGACCATTAGTTTTATCCAAAATTACTATTTCTAGAAACTTTGCTGGTTTCCACATTAGCAATATTAAAATGATACGACTGTAATTACTGGGTTTGTCCTTTTTTTTGGGAACAAGGATGCAATGTTTGCAATTCTCCACTTCTCTGCCACCAGCCCCATGTCTAGGGAAGACAAGGATCATTGCAGAGATACTGGCAATTTCCAATCTCACTTCTTCAATAACTCTCACCACCAACAGCTCATCCAATAACTTTGAGGTCTTTTAGTACTTTGTTTTCTACTGTCACCATAGCTTTGGTAACACCTGTATTGTCGGTAAAGAAAGATAAGACATTCATTTAGACCAGAGAAGGTTCACTGGGATGCTCCCCAGTATAGAGGGACTGTCTTACGAGACAAGATTTAACAGGTTGGGAATTAAGAAGAACGATAGGTGATCTAGTTGAAACCATTTAGGATTCTTGAGGAGCTTGACAGGATAAATGATGAAAGGATGTTTCCTCTCATGGCAGATTCTAGGACCAGAGGCATATAGTCTCAGAATTAAAGGGCATCAATTTAAGATTGACATGGGAATGAATTTCTTCTGAGGTTAGAGCGTCTTTGGAATTCCTTGCCACAGACAGCTGTAGAGGCAGAGTCCTTGTATATATTTAAGACCGAGACAGATAGATTCTTGAACTGTAAAGGGAATCAAGGGTTACATGAAAAATGTAACAGGTGGATGTGAGGAATGTCAGATCAGCCAGGATCCTATTTAATGGTGGAGCAAGCTTGAAGGGTCAAACGGCCTACGCCTGTTCCTATTTCTCATGGTCTTACCTCAGCCGTGCCTTCTATATCCTTAAGTAAATCTGTTTTGGTCCCAACTTTTCCTTTGGCCATCCGTTTACTTTATCTGCCTAAAGAAAACTCTGGGACTCCCCTTTATTTTAGCTTCTTTTCTTCCATTTTTTAAAAAACATGTTTGCTTCTTCATACATTTGCTACGAGTTGGTGGTATGTAGATCATTTAAAGCAACATAACTGCATTCTTGTCTGCAAACTCTATCCAAAATAGATTCTGTCCTTGAATGCTGAGTCATCCTCTTTCTCCAGCACTGCAATGTTCTCCTTAACCATGACCACCACCCTCCTCCTCTTCTTCCTTTCTTATCTTCTTGGTAGTTTCACCATTTGGAGCATTTCCATTTAAGTCTCACATTGGACATACATTTATAAACACAATTTGTCTCCCTGGATTTTTGTAAATGTGTTCTTCTGAAGTGAAGCCCTGCAAATAATATGCCATTAAGTTTCATAGTGTAGGTAAGATCTATACAGGCAAGGAAGATAATTGTTAGACTATTAGCCTGATTATAGTGGGAAGTACTTAGTTTAAAATCTTTAGTGTTCAAAATCAGTTGCAACTGCATCTGACCATGCATTTGGAAGAATTGGGTCATCTGGGCCGCTGAAGACTTGATTAAATTCTTTTAAAGTAAACAAATATAAGCTATGAATTATAATTCGAAATTTAAAGTACAAATAATACTTTATTTCATCATTTCAATTTCAAATATATTAAACTAGCACTTGCATTTTATTTCAATGCACATCAATAACTCTCATTATCACAGAAAATAATAAATGGCGATCTGTGAAGAAGAAATAGTTTACCTGTAAAACTGTATCAAGTGGATTTCCTGAATCTGGTCGTATAATAAGTGGGGCTTCAGGACTTCGTAACTCTATCAAATGCCTCAAGTCCTCTCCCCAAATTTTTTCACAAGCATTATAAATGTCATAACTGTCACTGACTATTGATACTGGCACAGTGGAAAACTTCTTCATAATGTGTTCAAAGGCATCTTTCTCACAATCTTTTCCCCATGCTGTAATTGTACTGCTCAAAAAGAGAAGAAAGAGAAACCATTCAACAAGTAGTTCAAATAACAGGTCAAAACTAAAATTGCAAACTGCTATAATTTTACAAAAACCCTACTGGTTCAAAACTAATAGAATTAAGTCAACAAAACTCCTCAAAATAATAATGAGGAAAACAATTTTTTTTTTTTTTTTTTAAAAGCAATCTCAAATGATTCACTGCTTTTATCAACTTTACAAGAAAGATACATATATACCATAGGAAACTTTGTAAGATGAAATTTACATTGTTAAGAAAGACAATGAGTCAATAGTACAACCAAGTAATAAGAAGAGTGAAATCCCTAAAGATTAAATCAAAGGACCGGTAACAGTTACAGAATCCTGAAGAATTATATTTAAAACTTCAAACATTTCCAGACAGTCTATCCCACAAACAATTGGTAAATGTGCAAATACACAAAGATAATTTCCTGGATACTTTAATATTACAATATTACTCAGATTTGTAGTTTAAAATTATAAAATGGAGGATATAAATCAATTTTTGAATGCTAATATTCAATATCCTCAGAAACATGCATTTCAAAAAGTCAGAGTTAAGATCTTATCTTAATTCCCAATGAAGTAAAACAAACCTTTTCCGGTCAGAATGTAAATGAGAACCAAGAACAGGAGTCTTTTTCAGTCTTTAAACCACTCTTTAAAGTAAAAAAAACCCATCAAGCAAAACAAGGCTTACTTAAATGTGTGAGGGAATTTAAAAGATTCAATTGATGATGTAGGTGTCCGAGTGATCACAACATTTGACTTGTGCATCAAATTAAGTTGAGGTCGATGTATTAGCATTCTTACGTAGACATGCAATTTTGAAAGCACAGGCACTTTACAAGGAGTTCCTCATACCATTTGGGTGAAGATTTGCTGCCTTACAATTAGGAAGCTACATTTCAAAAATCTGAAGTTAAACTAGGAAAGCACCCACCTGTGTTCTGCTGCTGGTACTGAAAATCCTGGCACAGGGTCCTTTGTTCCATAATACTTCTTGATGACAGTGATTCCTGCAACGGTGTCTGTTCCTTTGAAGTTGACTAAATGGGAAGATGCCCCTATTCCTGCTGTCTAAAGGAGATCTTAAATTATGACACGCAAGTGATTAAATTGAGCTGTATGAAATTTAGTCAGTTTTGATATATTTACCTAGTTAAAAGATTACATTACTGCACCACAGTATAACCTTTTACACAAACCCGTACACTTAATTCAGTAAATTTAACCCCCTCCCCCCCCCCACCCCCAATCAAGTGCACATCTTGGTCATGCAGTCTTTCCAACAGTATGATAGGTGATCACAATTTCCCCACGGAAAAAATCTTTGATCACAACCATGCACCTTCTTAAGCCAATACACTGTACCTAATCTGGACTCTAAAGCAATGTGCAAACAATTCTGCGCCCAATTCACCAATCCACTGTCAGGGAGAAAAAGGAAGGAAAAGTGTTGTGAACTTAATACGTCTATTTGCTAATATGGCTTACATCTTAGCCAAGTCATTATATTTTTTCAACGAAACCTCTACTAGTAAAACACATGATTGTCACTGCACACAGTCCTTACCTCTTGTGAGGAAACCCCTCTGTAACCAAAGTCATGAAGCTTGTATTCCAGCCCGTTTAAATTACCAGCAGTCTCCAGCAGGTACTTGGCTAAAATTTTCTTCTGCTCTCGGGAATTCGTGGCCACAGAGATTGGATACCAAGTCTGAACAAGGCTAGTCTGGAAACCAAAATAGAAAAAAGGAAAAGCAATATGATTGCTACCCGCAAACGACTGCATTGTGCACACGTCAAAGGCACAGGTGGAGATTGCATAAAATTTGAGGAGACTGAGTCTGCAAATATTTACCTACATTCCATATAGACAAAAAGTACATATATACCTCAACCCAGTTGGTTAGCCAATAGCACTCTGGATCTGTATTTTCAACCGTAAAGAGAACATTTCCCCGAGGAATGACACTTCCTTCAGGAACAGCCTTTACTTCTATTGGAAGGTGACCATCATGTTTCTAGAGTGGAGAATCAAAGTTCAAAAATTGTAATAAAAAATGCTGACTTAAGAAACAGCACATTATATTTTTCATATGATTTGAAAAACTCAAATATGGTAAACTATCCAAATTTTCCTACAACCTATGTATACTTTACTGCAACAAAGCCACCAAACCATTTGCTGATCTAGGGAAGGCAAATAACCAAATCTTTACAATTAAATATTCTAAATTTCTCAACATTCAAAGGAGAGGGTAAAAAAAGATACTGTTGATCCAAAACCTCAGTCCTAGTTAGAAGAAACAACACAGTAATAGGCCCAGCAGCATAGTAAAAATTTAACTGGCCTATATCATTAAGGCATCTATATATTTTTAAGAGGGGTGAGGGTAGAAACAATGAGAAGCAGAATCATTTCATTAATTTTATTTCAGCATGTAACTTTATGCAAAATATCATAGTTTCTAAGACAAAAGAAAATTCACATCAAACACGTGCTCAACAAAGTAATGTCTTTTGAGAAAAAAAGTTTCCCTGTTGTTATAAATGCCAAGATTTACAAAACTGGCTTTTGGCTGGATCATACCATTGTTATTTTGGCCAGTGCCCCAAAAGAAGCTGGTCCAATCTTCATCAGATATGGCATTTCCAAGTTATCAGTATTACAATGTTGCTATTTAAAAAGCACATTGTAATCTTCTGCATCTCTTTGGAAGAGAATGTAAGGTAACCAAATTCAAGGGGGGAAAATGTTTTTAGAATGATTGCTGCCCAATTCACTTTATGGTATGTCTGCCTGTGGAATTCTGGATTGAAAAGCAAGACTGCAACAAAAAAAAAAAGTTTTTTTTTTAAAATATCAGACAAAAAAGGGTTTCATGCATTTTCACGTTTTAATTTTCTTTCAACTTCTCACAAGTGAATCTCGGGGCAGTTAGCTCTGTAGCATTTACTGATCAATACATGTCTTAAAATGATTAACCTCTTATCCATAGTCTGTGGCCAGCTGTTCCAGACTCTCCCAACCTACACTTTACAGCCCCTTTAAAATCTTGTGTGCTTCATTAATTTCCTCTCATTCTTCTAAACTCCAAAGAGCAGATGTCAGACTTACTCAGCCTCCCTTCATAGGGCAACCATATCATCTCAGAGCCCAATCTAAGGAATTGTTGTTGTGCCACCTTCAAACTGCTTCCCTATGAAGACTGAAACTCCAAATGTGGTCTTACCAAAACCTTGTACAATGGAATCAAACCTCTTTTTCTGGTCCTTTACTGCAAGGGATTGGCGTGCATGTCATTTGCTTACCCAATTGTGTTGTACCTGCATGTTCATGTTGTGTTCTTTGTACAAGTACACTTAAGTCTCTCAGCATCAAAATTTATAAGTATTACATCATTTAAAAGGTGCTTTTCTAACCGTATCAAATTGATTAACGTCACACTTCCCCACATTAGGCTCCAACAGCCACCTCTGTTAACCATTCACTTAATCTAACCCCATCGCTCCAGCATCAGGCTAACCACCTCAGTTTCCACGTCAACACAGGTGAGTAAGCTCAAAGTAATATGTTTACATCACTGATGTAGATTATAAGGAGCAAGATCCCAGCATTGAACCTCCGGCACCCCACTCTTAATCCTTTATTCATGCTAATCTATTGTAATACAACTCTATAAACTCCATCTTGCATGCTAGCCTTTTGTGTGGCACTTTGTCAAACACCTTTTGGATATTCAAGTATACTAATTTACCAGATTAACTTTATCTTACCCTGCTATAAATTCCCTCAAAGACATTTTAATAAATTGCAAAACAAAACCATATTAATTTTGCCTGATTATAGAATGATGTTCTAAGTGTAGTGTTGAGATTTTAAGATTTCAATAATTACCTGACAACTGACATCTGGCTTGTAGTCGAGTTTAACTACCTGTCATTTTTGCAAAGTTACCACGTTATCAAGCCCGAGGGATTGATCCGATTTTAGTTAGAGGCCCTTAAGTTCCTCTAATAACTTTTGACTGCTGTTATCACGTCTTTTTGTTATCTTAAGTTCCTAAGTCTTTTTAGCTGTTGGTAAACTTGTGTTTCTGGATTTCATTTTTTCTCTTCCATTATGAAGACAGAAAATATTTGTCCAAAGTGTTACAGACAAGGAGCAGGGAGACATTTAATTTAAATTTTTTCTCCTCTTCTATTCATTAGCGTAGGTGCTATTCCTGTTCTCTTATGGTTTCTTCCTTTTAAAAAAATAAGCCGTGGTGCATTTCCCTCAGTCTGTTAATGAAGTCCAATTTTTGAGTTAATCACAATAAAAATGGAAAGTTTATTCATGTACTCAAACCCTGGGGATGATTCTTGCAACATATACATACAAGCTTGTAAGGGATTCAGTTTCCAGGCAAGTTTACAAGAAAAAAAAAGTCTTGTGTGCCATGCTATCACCAATTAGTTTCTTAGCAGATTGATTCCATGTTAACAGCAGTTTGCTCCTTACCAGACTTGGGCAAGGCAGTTCAGAAGTTGCAGTAGGGTTAGGTTCCTAGTTGCATCGTTTTCAAGTTGACAAGGTTCTTCTGGTCAAGAACATTACTTGTCTAAAGGCAATCAATGGTGAGCCACTAGTAGCACCTCAAGTATGAGGAGTTGCAGTACCTTCCTTTTGTTCAGAACTAGGTGGGGGACGCACCTTATCTGCTAATCATTTTGTTTTTGTGGACTGGAAGGTCCACTCAATGGAAGGGTATGACATTCTAGGCTGATGCGTTCCATCCTGGTAACTGATGATTAGAATCCTTCCAGGAATTGTGGACAATTTGAACAATATGATTAGTGGCAGCCATGTTTTAGTCCAAAGTTAATTTTAAATTTAAATTTAAATTTAAATCAGTATGGATTTTAAAACAACTTGTGATCCTTCACATCTTTTGAAGATGGATTCCTTTGTCACACAGAAAACATGAATCCTCTAGCTTCTCCTGTAAAGGGCAAAAAGAGGTCCCCACTCATTCTCTCAATCACTCTTGAACGTCAACCACACAAGTATCAGATCCACACTTGGGTCAAGGCAATGGTGAGGATATTGTTCTTTCCTGCAACGAGTGCAATGTTTTCTTCAGGTTCAAAATGTTGTAGAAGCAAACTCAAGCAATCTGAATTGGCTGCTGTGCACTTTTCTCAGAATTTTTAAGAGGCTGACATTTGCAGAGCAGAATAGTTTTCAGTTTTTCTACCTCTTTGAATCCCTCCGTCCACATCAGCTGTGATTTTTTCATAATTAAGTAAATTATCAATCATCCAGGAACATCTGACTGCCTCACTTAGTCTAAATAATCGTTTGAGAGAGATTGCATCAGAGGCCATCCTGGTCACTACACTTATTTGCCAGTGGTAAGTGTGGAGGTGTTTTGATCTGCCCAGCTTACAGCCAATGCAATGGGGTGCTCCAGCTGCTCTGGCTGGACTCAACTATTTTGTGGCCCAGCTCGTGCTAGATTTCCTGTGTGACACGTGCCAGCTTGTTAGGATTCAGATGGTCAAGACTTATTTCCTGGAGAGGATTCTCCCTCATTCACATCTTGGATGGATTTCTTCACATTTTCTGAGCAGGGTGGTCACATGGTCCCACTGCCCTTTGGTCAGGGTGCTAAAATGGGCATTTATTTTGAAGATTCCAGATTCAAGTCTTGGGTTCAACTGGGGAAGCCGCGACATACTCCTTCCCAGTTGATTCCTCCTGGCTATCCTGAGATATTCACCCTCTGGAAGACATTTCACCAGTTGACCAAGAGTCGTACTTCACTTTATTTTACCTGCATCGGAACGTCACGTGGCAGTCACAAAAAACTGCTTCATAACTCCAGGGTTATGAAGCTTCCTTGCTCTGTTATCTTACAAAGGGATTGGTCTCCAACCCACCCCGTCCAGGGATATTATCACTCTTGGATAACTGTCCAGCTCCTGCTGCACTGCCCTGCAGCTCTTCAGCTAGCGTAGCATCATCAAGTCCAAGTTGGAATTTCCATGTTTTCCCTTTCCAATACCAGGAAAGTGACTGTTAGATAGCCAGATCTCCTGCTCATCTAGCACAGGTAGAGGTTGCTTTTTCTTTTAAGTCTGGGACAGCTATTTTTGTAACTAACTGTATCTATCGTTTGGGAACTTCCTTTGTCAGCTTCTAATTGAAGCCAGCTTTTCAATTTGAACCAGGCATCCACTTAGTCAGTAGGCTTACATGCTCCCTTCCTTTTCCCAGTCTGTCTGGGCACCTTTTCTGTGCTGCTATCTATTCCTGGGAAGAAAGCAGCATCTCTTTCTACTTCTGCTATTCTCATTCTGGCACTTCACTTCCCTCTGGCCCAACAACTAAGTATTGCATCTAATTTTGCATACCAAGGAGTTACCAGCAGCACTTGAACTGCTTTTTGGGTGGTTCTAAGTGCAGTCTTGCTTACAGAATAATGATTTTCCCAATTCAGCTACTGTGGGGGTAGACTGATCCCTATTTTATCTCATGTCTTTTGGGATACCTTGGATCACACTTGACAGGCTAGTTTCTACTGCTCTGCCATTTAGGTCTTTGTGGGAGGCCTTTTCTCACCAGTTGATTTATACTAAGCTGTTCTGGTCCCATTTAATTCAGCAATATCTGCCAATTTGATTTCTTGCTTGTATTCTTTTGCTTCTGAAGTCTGCAGGTTATGACATCTTTCTGGTTCCCCTCTGCTTTTGCAGTTTCCTTCAATAGCGGAGTACAGTGCCCAAGGCTTGTCAAGCCGTTTCCCAGAAACATAGCTAATTCCATCTGTCATACTTGTACTTTTAATTCTATGTCCCGCATCTTTTGTGGTAGAGCTTGCCCTTTTTTGAAATTCTAACCATATGTCCCTCTTTTCCAGCCTAATCAGTGGTTTGTTTGGCATGTGGAGGTGAAGTACCCCAATCACTTAGGTTCTCACTCTTATCTGTTCCAAAAATTGGCCAGTGTCTAAATGCTTGAGAAGCGTCTGGAGTAACTCAGTATTTTTTGCCTTTGTTCTCCTAGCTACAATTGTAACAATCCTATGTTCAGAAAGGCCAATGTTTCAGCAGTGAAGTTTTCCTTTCCTACACACATCTTTGCACATATTGAATTCTAATGTTGTGATTAAGAATTTCTTTTGTTTGCTTAAAAAATTTCAGACACTGACTTTCCTTCTTGGCTTCCAACTGGTTTACTTCAGTATCAGATTTAAACTCTTTTCTTAAACTTGGACTCTGGTCAGATTTGTATGTACTGTGGTCAAATTTGGCTTGTTTTAATGAATTAATCCTGAACTTGTGTTGCAGACAGGAGGCAGGAAGGTAAATCCAACCATTTTATTTGTCTCCTCTTCTGTCCGCAAGGGTATTGTTTCTCCCTCACCTTCTTTTCTTTTCCATTTTGAAACAGGCTGTGATGTATTGCCCTAAACCGTTGATGAAGATCAATTATTCAATGACTCGCAACAACACTGGCTCTGGCTTCATGCATACACACATACACAGACATCACACAAACAGCAGCAAAAAAGTCATGATTAAGAAAAATCCAAAACTTTTTTTTTGACAATCCAGAAAGTCAGTGTCCTGTGAATATTTCCTCCAATAAGATGTTCAAGGTCAGGTGGTTGAAGTGCAGTTCACTAAGGCCCAGAATTGTTTTTTTTTTAAAAATATTCTCTGCTGCTCATTTAGCTCCATTCCTTTTAACCAATTTACTCAATCAACTCTATCCATGGAATTGGTTTATGTTGGAGATTCTTGTTTGAGGCAGCAGCATGCTACTTTCAATGTGGAAGTCAACTGTCTTATTGGGAGATCACTGGGAAAATTAGTCATACGTGATTGCTGATCAACCCTGCTTCACTGTACAATACCAGGCCTAAAAAAGCTTTATCCCAAGTTGAAAAAATGCATCAGTCTAGGAAACGGTGTAAAAGCATTTAACAATCCTATCCTCTGAATTATCATTGCCAATGTTTTTGTCTCGTTTATAAGATTTAGCTCCCCACCCCTAACAATTACTGCATTACATTTGTCAAAACTTGGATTACTTTTGCTTCATGCTTTGTCCAATGGTATAACTGCTGCCCAGGGGCCCAAAAACTATTTACAATGTTTTCTGACCTTTTTACTAGTGTCCACAATACCTGTTAGATTTCCTGATCTTCTGAGCCAAGATCCTCTCTCAATTCTGATCTTGTACTGTCCTTTAATAAAGGGTCAACTCTCCTCTTTTTCTACTTTACCCATCTTTTCATAATGCTGTGTATCCCTGGTTACAATGTAGCCATGTCCATATATGGTGATTCAATCTAAACTATTTTAATTTATGCTGTTACTTCATCTGAATGTCCAAAGCATTCGAAGAGCTTTAAGTGTTTTAATTGTTTCTGTTTGGACTTTAGTCAGTGATACATTATTAAGCTCAGTATTTCCAATCAAATTAACTTGAACCATGGCCCATATACTGTACATAAATCAGCTTAGCTATCCACCAAGTCTGATGGTATTCACAGCACTCTACTGGGTGAAGTGCAGTGTCCAGGAATATTGTCAATTGTCAATATTCCTGGAGAGCAAAAATATCCCAGTTTTTTTCCTCCATGACCACCTATATCTTTAAACCCCCTTCCACTCTCTCTGCCTCTAACAAACAAAGAATTCATGGGATTTCTGTCACAAAGTTAGGGAGCATCCATTCAGGTCTCCAGCCTACCCTTTATCAAACAAACTTCCATCTGATGCCTTTTAGATTTAGTTAATACGTGGGATCTGCCTCTCAATCCATTCCAACAAATTACCAAATTTCCTTTTTGGCCCCTGCAGAAACTGACATAAATGATTTGACCTCCAAAACTACTAAGTTCAGCTCCCCTTCAGAAAATAAACGTTTCGATCCCTTCAGTACTTACAAACCACTGCACCATTTTCAAGCTCCATTTCTAACTGTCCTCAAAACACTGCTGCCCCCTTCAATACTCTCCTTTAAAGTTACCTCTTTAAACAAGTCTTATGATTATTCCTCCAAATGTCTCCTTTGGCTCAACATTTTTTTTTTTTTTTAAAATACCTGGCTGATTTGAACATTTTTGTACATTAAAAGGCATGACATAAATGCAAGATATTTATATTGTTCAGCAAGAAGACAAGTTCATTTTTCAAATTCTTTTCATATGGACATTTTGTGATAAACTGATAAACTCAGGAACCCGAGCAACTGAATTTGACTAATTGCCTGCACCAACTCCAGTGAAGTACAATAAGTTAGCTGAGTAGAGAAACATATGTCCTTGAACTTGGCAGCTGGGCTGACAATACTCCTGAAATCATTAGACTCAGTGGCTTTTACTTTCTATCAACCATAACATAGTTATACAATTATAACAAACAGCAAAAAACCTAACTTGCCCCAAAATGATGAATGAGGTACTATTATTAAATTTCTCTCACACAACTAAATAACCACTCAGTTCTTCCCTCTCAAAAGGACTTTTAAAAAAAAAATCTATTATTTGCCACTGCAGATAATATTATCAATGGGCACATGAATTCAAATATTTCATTTAAATTCTCAGGTCTCCCATATATTCCCCGACTGACTAGTAATCAGTTGGTGGAATGCCAATCTAGTGTGCACGCTGGAATGTTTTATGCTCAAATGTTCGGTTACTTGCTTCGTTAAAGGAATGACTGTAAAGTATATTCTTTTGCACTCGACAGCACAATTATGAGAACACACGCCTCTAAACCTTATCACTATCATACATAGTACAACAAATTGCTTCAAGTACCCAAAGTTAAAAAGGGACATGGAGGTGTGAAGAAGGGTATCTTAGAAGAAATCTGCCCAGAAACAGGACAACAGGAAAAACTACTTGTTGGAATGTGAAGTCTCTTGCAGTCAACGAGCCCACTATATCTATCAAGGCTCATGCATTAACAGTTGTAAGTGTAAGAGACTAATGGACAACTCAAACCGTATCCTAGCAGTAATTACATACTGGGTTTGGGAAGTAAAGCCAAAATGGCGGATTCAGGGGAATAAAATTAATAGTTCCTGATACTTCCCATTCCTGGAGCAGACAAAATCTTAAATCTCCTACCTCAAGAATATAATTCCAACCACTCTCATTAAATACATCATGTTGAAAATGTTCTCTGTAGACCTCTTTGGCCTCTTGAATTTTCTCCTTTGTTACAACTTTGCCTGTTTAAAATTTAGAGGAAGCAATTTTCATTCAGAGATTAAACAATTAATCCAAGTTTGAGTTTTTCCATCAAGATCTCGTGGCAAATCTATTCAGAGCCAACCATTATAAATATTGATATTTATACAAAGAATAGCAATTGTACTTATTTCCTAAAAGAATATTTTGGAATACCTTATTCAGAACCTAGCTTGGTACTTCTAATTGTCAAGAATTTTATCATACCAATTTTCCACCTTTGAGGCACATCTTGATCATCAAATCCCTGTACTTTTGTAAAGGAAGGAGGTAACCAAACAATTCCTTTCTTCCAAATGAAGACAATGATTTGTCCAGGTCAGGACAAAGTAACGTTTAAGTTCAAACTAGTCTCTCTGCTTGGGTAGTGAGAGGAAAGTTTCCAGGTGACAAAGCTAGAAGATCTACGGATTCAGAGGTAGTAGCCATGATATGAAGAGGTAAGCAGACTTCATATTGGGCCTGAACATCTATCAATGATCAACCAAGTGACTGCATTCCAGGTTAACAGGAGGCACTTGTTTTCTATGGGCAAGAAAGAATTTACAGTAAGAGTTCACACACTGCTCAGACTGTATCTGCAGTACTCGCTATAATTCTGGTCACCGTAATATTCATGGAATATTTTGGCTATTCACGTGATGCAGGAGTCAATTTAATTGCATTCCAGTGTCAGAGGCAACAGGTAGTAGGTAAGCTATTTAACCTCAAATGTGTCTACAAGGCTTTTAAAAAAGTATGCAAAATTTCTAACAGGATAGAAAAACCAGATCAGGTACAGAATTTTAATTTGTCAAGAGCATAATTTAAATTATAAATTTAAGATGGATGTCAATAAGAGAATGACAAGAACAAACAGTGACCCAGGTTTCCATTGAGCACAATGGAGAGGCTATTACCGTTCAACACTATAACAGAGTAAAACAGGTAACTGCTCCCAACATCCAAAAATGCATCACTAAAAGCATAAATTCCATAGATGTTGTCAAGAACACCCTGCTCTTCTATGGGGTGCATTGCCACAGTTATCACTAATAGGCGTGCCACTGAAATCAATGCAATGGAGGGAGATGTGTCCTACATAGCCTATAAGGGTGCCAGGAGAAAGCTCTCTCTCATCCTGTTTACGGATGTCCTATCAGGGCTGCATCAGACCCAACTAGAGCAAGTTGCTGCTGTAACATTTACATGGAAAGCTGCCAGAGGGGTGTGCAGCAACCACCATTTCTTTGACGCCGAATTGTGGGGCAAATTTTGTGAAAAGTTGATTGTACTAATACAGGCTGCTTGATACACATCTTTCCTAGAAAAAAATCCTCTAATACTGGATCTATAGCTAAAGTTTGCATTGAAACTTTATATACTGTTCTTTAATGACTGAATGAACCCCTCCCCTCATTACTATATACATCTATGTACAATACATAGTTCACACTAATATAAAATAGAATGAGCTAGATTACAACTTAGAATGAGCACGAGTAAGTCTTAAATAAATTAGGTTTTTGGAATAGAGATACTAATAATGAGTGACCCAAATTCCAGCTTTTAAAATATTTGATTCACATGCTTAATAGAAAATGTTTAAAAAGTCACCTGCTAAATACTTCTTCAGTATGTATTGTAAACCATAGAACACAGTCTCATCATATTGCACCTTCCTGGATTTTATATCTTCCCTCCTCTTCTCACGGCATTCAAAGTAAGAATATACCTTGCTTGTATTAGGTGGATACTGCAGGTAGTGAGTCACCTTGGTAAATGGAGAAAGCGCAACAGTAAATACAGTAAAAGGATTAATTAAAAGCCAATTTTAAAATACAAGAGGTAAATAATTAAATGCAGTCAAAACAATCAACAAAACGTCAAAAATTGCTGGCAGAAATCAGTATTACATTAAGTATAATGTACATCCTCCAGACTGAGGACACAAAGGACTCAGAGCTAGCAACCTATGCAACTTGCCACTTCACAAGTCTGCATGCATCACTCTGAAGTTTCATAAAAGAACAGAAACAAGTCTGAAGTCTCCAGTCTCGAGTAAAGTATTAAACAGATCAAAATCGCATGCAAAGGTAAAGTTGCCACAGTCCTAAAGGATCAGCGGGCTGCTATCTCAGAGAGTTAACAGGTGCAGAATTTAACCTGATCGTTGCCACATGTCAGGCAAGGGACGAGGTTCACAGCAGAGTCCTTCATGGTAACCTTAGCCAGTATGGGAATTTTTGGCATCACTGCACCACAAACCAGCTGTCAAGGCTACTGAGCTAACTGGCCCCCCCACGTAAAATAGTATACTAACCATGTAACAACACTAGTTAAGGACTTATCTTTAAAGTAATGTCTTTATTTACCAACACATGGCTTGTGAAATAGTGACTTAAAACCAGGATAGTGAATAACAGCAGCTAATAGAAACTATCATTTCAGTCATATGAACTAAATATAAAAGAGACAAGTATTTATTGTGGGCCCATTGGCCGCCGAACTCAAACCATGGCAAAGTGAAATATGTTCAACATGGTTGGCACATGCTGATAACCATGCTTTTTGCACGTTTATCACTATGCCTTGAGACATCAAGAACTTTGGCACTTCCACTATTTGCTGTACTGACTGTAAGAGCATCCATTTGACAAAACGCAATTTTAAATGTCTGAGATTTCATAAATCAATAGCAATAAATCAAGCATACTTTTTTGATTTAGTTACATCTTGGCTATGATGAAATTCTCCTTTGACCAATTTGTCAACAGTTGAAAGGGTCCTTTTGGGCTAATACATATTACCAAGTAGCCTCACTGAAACAATTTGGATAAACGTGCTATTGACAATTATCACCTGACTCAACAGGCATTAAGTATATAGGCCAAGCTGAATGGTTGACCTACAGATCCAAAGATTAATAAAGCAATTTGACAGACTCCTACAAAGTCCAAAAAGCCAACTGTGGGTCGCAGGTTGGGGGAAGAGAATTGTGGTCTTGTGAGAATGAAAAAAGGGGATTCTGTTTATGCAAGCAATACTTTCTTCCAGCAGGGCAGAAAACAACCAATAAAATCATATTTTAACCTAGCGTAGGATGTTTGAGATACAAGTAATTATGAAGGAGTAGAACATTTTTCACTTATGAGAAACAAGTAGTGTAAGACTGCAGAGTTCCAAGCTTAAGATGAAACCTTTTTACACTGCTTCACTAATTTTCAGTCTTTTGACCTAGTGGCTCATGAAGTTGGATATACGGCAGTGCAAGCCAAATCTTTGACATCAGAGCTATACAATCTAGCACCAAGACAAATTTTACAGATAAAGGATTTTTTTTTCTGTGAGTAGTGAATCTGTGTACCGCTTTCCCAGAGTGGTGTACAAGATTATTGAAGATTTTTAAAGAGAGGTACACTGACTCCTTGTTAATGAAAAATCTCAATACTTGGAGAGGGATGAGGAAGAGAGTTTCGCAGAAAAGTGGACAGTTGAGGCCACAATCAGTTCAGCCATGATCTGAGCAAGTGATGGAGCAGGCTCTAGGAGCCAAAAGGCACAGTTGTGCTCCTAATTTGTATGTTCACACATTCAGTGGACTTACCAGTTCATCTTCCTTCAGACAGAAAGTGAGGCAGAATTAACCCTGCTAATTGATCCACTGTATTCAGTGGTCAGCAATATACATATTTGGTATTTTGAAAGAGAATTGCAATGTTACTTCTTAAAAGGGTACACCATTCCAAACAAATTCTTTCCGCAGCATGTGGAGTATTAATGGCTAAGCCAGCATTTATTGCTTATCTCTAATAATTCTCAAATTGACTTTTCTTGAACAACTGGGTGTAGTTATATACCCCAGATGGACTACAGAGTGCTATCCGGAAGGGAGTTGGAATTTGGCTGAGCAACAGCGAAGATAAAGCAAAATAGCTTCCAAGTTGGGATTTTGTGTGACTTGGCAGAGAACTTGCTGGCAGCGATCCCCATGCATTTGCTACCATTACCATTCTTATTGGTAAAGGCGACAGGTTTAAAACAATGTGGTTGAGGAACCTTGGAAAGTTGCTGCAATGCCTGTGTGATAAGACTCACTGTCCAAAGATCAAGTGACTGTAATTTGTACACACTGCAGTGGTGGAGGGAGTGCCAAACAAACAAGTTGGCAAGTATTTCTGTCAATAACAGTTAAAGTTGTGATGTGTTCACCTGTCAGAATAGTTTTCCATCTTGAATCCAAGTTCAAGGATACAAAGAATGGGCTTTGTCTAGATCAGGGATGACCCTACAAGGTGCATAAGTAACAAAAGAGAAATGAGGTCACGTTTGAAGATAAAAGGCAATTCTAGCTTAAGACAATTGTCACTATGTCCTTTGGACAGTGTCAGTCTTATCAGGCAGGTTTCTTTGCCAAAGTTTTCAATAGGAGAGCTAGACTAAGCAGTCAGTATTACGAGTCTGATTCCAGATTTTGACATCAGACACCTAGAACACCAAAAAGTGACTAACAGATGCTTCTCAGTGCCAACACTTCTAAACGCAAATCTATCCAATGGCTGGCGGGGATGCAACTGGAGAGAACTGATGAAAAGCATTATCAGAAGATGAGTTATAAGTCTGTGCTCAAACAACCTGGATTTGTGAGGGAAGGTCAGTATAACCTTCAAGTTCCACACCAACTGTGGGAATTACAGCACAGAATTGGGAGTGTCCAAAGACAGGACAATGCTCTTCCATAATTTTCGTGTGCTGCCCACCATGCAGCACAGGAGTCCTGGTACCTAATGTCCATTAGCAATAATCCGTATCCATTTGTCAAATCAACCTGAAGGCTGAAATTGAAATGATGTCACTACATTATCTATAACAGATAAGCCAAGAGAAGTTTTAATAGGCTGTAAAAATGAAACTGTTGGAAATACTTAACAGTAGCACCTGTGGAAAGAGAAATAGAGGTATCATTTCAAAGTGATAACCTTTTACGCAAAAGTTTGACAAAAATACCTTAAAATGGTACCTGTTTCAGTCTCCATGAATCAGGCCAACAGGTCTAATGGACGTTTCCAACATCTTTGTTTCAATTTGCAGCAGTATTTGCTTTTGTCTCACAAAGTTAACGCTCCCTGGAAAGCTTACAGCTAATGTCTCAGTCAGGTGTCATATCCTCCGCTGATGATCAAGTGGGTTAGTCCCTAATGAAACCTCCGAGAATAATCCTGAAATTCCCATTATCTTAATGAGTCAGGTAGTTTTGGACAAACTTCAAATCTTTTCTACTCAAACTCGCAATGAGAAACCTGAGAATGCAATTCCTTTATCCAATCAACAAGTGCTTGATTCTCTGCAGAAATCCACCTTTGCTCTGCTGTGCTAGAAACTATTTACATACTTTTGAAGGAGCTTAACTTGGAGAACATGGTGATCAAATTCAACCTATCCTGTGTTTGAAATGATGTTGTGTCCTCAATGTAAAAAAAACTTCAAAAATTAGAAACAGATATAAACAAACAAAGTCTTTCAGTTCTCTGTTTACCACAGAGATATTAAGGTTGCATTGATTTTAAAATAATTAATTTTATTTTGGTTAGTTTGACTAGATAACTAGTTGTTGTGCTGAACCTCTCATGACAAAACAAAAAGTTCTGTTGAATGATAATGCTGTTCTGGTTACAGAGAATATTGGACACTTAACAACTGATGAGTAATTTCAATTCTTTTCCCTCCAGTTTTGGGATCATGAAGAAGAGAACAGCAATTTCAACATCAGTTAGATGCTGCTAGACCTGCAGAGCTTTTCTAGCAATTTTTGATTTTGTTAAACATAATACAAAAACTTCAGTAAACATAATTTGCATTTTTTTGTCTGAATGTTTCACCTCGCCCTGTCTCACTATAAGGGATGGAGTGTCAATCGATTTCCTCTGGCGATGAAATATGGAGCAGTTCCAGTCAAACACTGCCTCCTCTCGGTTGAATGAGACGGAAGTTTAGTTAGAAGAATTGGATCAGAAATAATTTAAAATCCGAGCAATGCTAGCACTCAAAACAGATTGTTAAAAGAAGAGGAAAACCCAGTCATTGAAGGGAAAAAAAACACCATCGAGCAGTTAATACATTCCATACAATTCGTCAATTGCAACTAAACCGGAGGTAGATTTGATAAACCATGAGCACCGATTGGTGCGGCACGTAAGGAATGGAAAGTTGCCCATTTATGAATAACGGCAAAACAGAAATCACCATTCAAGGAAATTGCATACGTTGTATGTCATTAGAAAGTCGGAGCAATAACTGCTCGTACGCCTATTCAAACAACTAACCCAAATAAAATCACATTTCTTTCCAAATATTATACAGCCCTGACATTTGGAACAGTCGCCTCATTTTGTGAAAGCGATCTTTCAAAACGAAGTGTTAAATGAGTGAGCAAGAGGTGAGAAACTGGAGTCACATCATTGACAACTATCTATAGAAATCCCCCATCAACCACCCTCACCTCCCTCCGCGCTTTCAGTTTCATTTCCCAATCGGGGACAAAAAAAAGGAGGAATAGAAAACGCTCTACGGTAGAAAGGCTTTCGGTTTCCACTGAGCTGAAGCGAAGTTGTTCAACCACAGATTGACAATTCTCGAGGGATAGATAGCAACGGGATGGGTGGCAGGGAGGGAGGAAGACGGTGACTGGAGGTGTGTTTACAGGTGGAAAAACTGTCTCACAGGATACGTTGAGAGAGAGAGAGACAAGAAAATAAATTGCCTTCCCTCACTCATTGTGATGGCCAAAATAAAAGGCACTGAGCAGAGAGGGAGGGTCGGTGAGGACAGAATGACAGAGCCAGGGGTCGGGAAGGGATTCCCTCGGACAGCGGCCCTCCCACAACTCTCCTCTCTGTCTCCTTCATTGAGAAACTCAGGCTCAGACCGGAGTATCCACCTGTGGGGGTCGGGGGAAGCCTGGAGCCTCTGGAGCGAGCGAGAGAGGGAGGCGGGCGGCCGAGTCTGGCCTGGATCCCCTTACTTACTTACTTACTCTCAGGGGCAGTAGGGGTCGTGCCCGTATATAAATAGCGTTTAACCTTTACCAGGACCGCGGCCTACGGTGAGAGTTGAGTAAGCACCGCGCTGTTAGAGGAGATCACTTGAGGGGGGGGGGGGGGGAGGAGGAGAAGAGTGGTGGATTTACCTTGTAAGAGTCAGTGGCCAGCAGGATATTGAAATCGCCGTTGCGACTGTCCATTGTACCCTGCTGACGTTTCCCTCTTTCCCGAGGTGGTCGGGCGGAGCGGTTACCAGGAGCCCGATCCGAGCAGCAACCTTTCCCCGAAACGTCGTACCCTCCCACCGCCGCTGCCGAATGGCCCAACAGCGGCGCGCGTGCCCCTTTCCCCTGGCGCCTGGGGCAGCGCGGCGGCACGAGGACGTCTCGCGAGACTATGGGAGGGGGCGGGGCTAACGGCCACGTAACCCGCCCCTGGCGCCCATCACACAGGGGACCGTGATGATGTGTGATTGAATCATGTGATTTGACGGTAGACTGCGTGAGGCCGGAGGTTTCGTCCATAAAGTTGTCCTTGGATTGAGTCAGTCCCCAATTTTTGTGGTGACCGCCATCAAATTCCTGAAGTGGGACTGGAACTCCGTCGTTTTGATTTAGTGCTTGTTGCATTTACCGATGCGCCATACGACCGTTAAGGCGGCTATGATCGTAGAGAGGCAGTGACCCCTTATCTCTCACTGCGATTGCTAATAGCGACGTTCACAGCCCCCAGGATCTTTCAGGTACTTCTGAAATTTATTCCCCAATTGTCAGGAGAGTGGGCAGAGAAGTGGCAGATGGAATACAGTACGAGGTTATGCACTTTGGTGGAAAGAATAGAGACGTAGACAGTTTTCTAAACAAGGAAACGCTTTGGAAATCTGAAGCACAAAGGGACTAATTCAGGATTCTCCGAAAGTTAACATGCAGGTTCTGAGCGAGGGTCATTCGAGCCCAAAACGTTAACTCTGATTTCTGTCCACAGATGCTGACATAACTGCGCTGCCTTTCCAGCAATTTCTGTTTTGTTTTGTCTAACCTGCAGGTTCAGTTGGTGGTTAGGAAGGCAAATGCGATGTTAACATTCATTTCAAGAAGGCCAGAATACAAAGAGCAGGGATGCACTGCTGAGGCTGTATGAGGCTTTAGCCAGACTGCATTTGGAATATTGTGAGTAGTTTTGGGCCCTGTATCTAAAGAAGGATGTGCTGGCTTTGGAGGAGGTCCAAAGGATGTTTACAAGAATGAGCCCGGGTTGAAAGGTTTATCAGGTTGACAGCTCTGGGTCTGTTCTTGCTGAAGTTTAGAGGATGAGGGAATGATCTTATTGAAACTTACAGGTCTGGATACAGTGGATATATAGAAGATGTTTCCACTATTAGGAGAGACTAGGACCCAACGACACAGCCTCAGAGTGAAGGGGTGACCCTGTACAACTGACATGAGGGGGAATTTGTGGAACTCATTACTGCAGAAGGCTATGGAGGCCAAGTCACTAAGTGTATTTAAGGCAGCGGTAGAAAAGTTTTTGATTAGTAAGAGGGTCATGGGTAAAGACTGGAAAATGAAGTTGAGAAACATATCAGCCATGATTGAATGGTAGAGCAGACCTGATGGGCTGAATTGCCTAATTTTGTTCCTTTATCTTATGGTTTTGTGGAGGAAAGGTAGCTGTCAATTCCTGTACAGCAAAAAAAAAAGTCCCTGTGAGCAGACTGTCTGTTTTTATGAAAAAACAAAGAATTGCAGATGCTGGAAATCTGAAACAAAAACAAAAAATTGCTGGAAAAACTCACAGGTCCGGCCAGAGGCTTCTTAAATGTTTAGAGTATCTGCCTCCACCACCCTCCAGGTGTGTGGAGGGGAAAAAGGTGCCTTCTCAGATCTCCTCTTAAACCACTTACTCCTCACTTTAACCTTATGGTCTCAGTTCTTAGACAAGTCTGCCATAGGGAAGAGATTCTCACAATCTACCTCTCAATCAGATCCCTCTTCAGCCTTGTCAGCTCCAAAGAAAACAAACCCAGCCTATCCAATCTGTCTTCATAACTGAGACTTCTCATCCCAGGCAATATCATAGGGAATCTTCACTGCATCCTCTCCAGTGCAATCATGTCCTGATAGGGTGGCAGTCAGAGCTGCGTAGTATTTCATCTGTGGTCCAACCAATATTTTATAAAGAGACAAAAAATCCTGCAGATGCTAGAATCCAAGGTAGACAAACAGGAGGCTGGAAGAACACAGCAAGCCAGGCAGCATCTGGAGGAAAGGAGAAATCAACGTTTTGGGTATTGTCCTGAAGGAGGCTAATGTTTTATAAAGCTGTAGCAAGATTTCCTTGCTCTAACATTCTGTGCGCTGGCGAATGAAGGAAAACATCCCGTAAGCCGTCTTCACCATGTATGTCTATGCTGACGTCTTCAGGGATCTATGGACTTGTACACCAAGGTCCTTTTGTTCCTCAATATTCCCTAGGGACCTACTATTCATTGTGTTTTATTTCTCCTTTGTACCACGCTTTGTATACACATCTGGTGCCAATTCATCTGCAACTAACATTCTTCCACTGGTTAAACAAACAGCGGTGTAAACACCACTTTTATATTAAGTGTTGGTATCTTGTTCTTAAAAAGTGCAACAATTCCTTCCATAATCCTTGCTTTTTGAAACAGACTTTTTTTCCATTTTAGTCCACTATCAAAATTACAGAAACATGAACAGATATGGTCTTTACAGAAAGCAAACTATCACTGAAAAAAGGTTGATTGTCACTTTGTAAAAATGGAATCAGTTCAGTGGGACACAAGCCATCAGTACGAAATGGAAACAAAAATCAGCAGCAAAGTTACCAATGCTAAATTCAGGGCAATTTTTTAAAATGTCCAATACCATTCAAAATGTGTCACCTCATACTTATTGGGATTAAATTCCATTGCTTTGCCCAATGTATCAGCTGATCAATAAGCATCCTGAGACCATTCTCCTCAAGATCAACAACACCAATTTTTTTTGTCATCTGCAAACTTACTAATTATACCTTCTACACTCCCATCCAAGTCATTACTGTACATAACAAACAGCAAGGATCCCAGCCCCGCTGTTTGTGGTACATCACTGACGACAGGCTTCCAATTACAAAACCACCCCTTTGCCTCCTATTTGTACTCCAATTTTGGATCCATTTTGCCAACTTTCCTCGGATCCCATGGGCTCTTGCCTTTTGGACTAACCTTCCATGTGGGACCTTGCCAAATGCTTTATTAAAGACCGCGTCAATGCACTACCCTCATCAATGTGTTTAGTCACCTTTTCAAAAGAACTCAATTGAATCAGACAGGATCTGCCTCTAATAAATCCATGCTGGCTATCTTTGATTAATCCCTCCCTTTCCAAGTAATGATTAATCCTGTCCTTTAGAATTGTCAAGGCAGATTTTTCTTAGCCACATTAGCCTTTTGAACAAAGATGAGGTATTTGGAGTTAGATCACAGATCTATCGTCATCTCATAAATTACCATTTAGGAGTTAAGTTATTTATGACTGTCTCTATAATCCAAACAAAAAATGATGATGCAGAGTATAATGGCATATTTATGTGTCTTTGAATCATGGATATCAAATTTTGCCTCTGTACCCTGCAATGTCTCAAAATCTGCAAGACATTTCGCCTTGACTGAATAACTAAGAGTGGTCACCCTGGTGTAATGATCGGGAAATCAAATGTAAAAGTCTCCCGTTGTATGAAATCCGTAGTGAAAACATAACATAAAGATAAAGTCTGATTTGAACAAGGTCTAAAGGATTGTAAGTTCTGAAGTTTTACTCCCACTTTGGGAATGCACAGTCAGGTGAATTCCTAGCTGTGCAAATTGGACCTGGGAAAATTGACTTGGAACTTTGGTGTTTATTCAGGAGGCGTTGAAGTTGTGAAACAAAAACAGAAATTGTTGAAAATACTTAGCAAGTCTGGTAGCATCTGTGGAGAGAAAGCAGAGTTGACATTTTCGGTCCAATGAGCCTTTTTCAGAACTTCACAACGTCACTGGACCCGAAATGTTAACTGTAATTGGGAAAATGTTAAAGTCTACTATGAAGGATGTGAAAGCAGACCATTTAGAAATACATAACATAACAGAGTCAGCACGGGTTCTCGAAGGGAAATCATGCCTGACAAATTTATTAGAATGATTTGAAGAGGTAACAAGCAGGATAGATAAAGGGGAAGCAGTGAATGAAATTAAATTTTCAGAAATTATTTAAAAAGTTACCACGTGTTAGGCTACTTAACAAAATAAAATTCCATAGTGTTAAAGGTAATATATTAATATGGATTGAGGAATGGTTAGTAAAAGATAAAGAATTGGGATAAGGGGTGATTTTCAGGATGGCAACCTGTAACTGGTGGAGTACTGCAAGGATCAGTGCTAGGTCACAGTTATTTACAATATAAATGATTTGGAAGATGAAAGCGAATGTATTAAAGCCAGGTTGGCAGATGACACAAAAATATTAGGGAAGGCAAGTAGTGAGGGTGACACAAAATGTCTGCAGAAGGATATAGACAGGTGAAGCAAATGGGCAAAAACATGGCAGATGGAATACAATGTGAGAAACTGTGAGGTGTGCACTTGGAATGAAGAACAGAGGAGCTGAATATTATTTAAATGGGGAAAAACTGCAGTAAGCTACAGGACAGAGTGCTTTGGGAGTCCTCATTCACAAACCACAAAAATAGGGAAGGTGAATGGAATGTTGGCCTTGATCTCAAAGGGAATGGAGTATAAAAATAGAAACTCTTGCTAAAACTATACAAGTCAGATCACAGCTGGAATATTGTAACAGTTTTGGGTCCCTTATCTCAGAAAAGATATATTAGCATTGGAGGCAGTCCAGAAAAGGTTCACCAGGCTGGTCCTGGGTTTAAGGGATTGTCTTACGAGGAGAGGTTGAATAGGTTGGGCCTTTATTCATTGGAGTTTAGAAGAATGAGGGTAATCTTGTTGAAACATACAAGATTCTTAAGGAACTTGACAGAGTATATGAAGAAAGGTTGTTGCCCCTTGTGTGAAAATCTTCATCAAAAGGGCATAATCTCAAGAATAAAGGATCACTCTTTTAAAATAGAGATTAAGGGAAATTTCCTCTCTCGGAGGGGAATTTATGGAATTCTTTACCACAGTGGGCTGATGAGGTCGAGTCATTAAGGCTGAGATAGATAGATAGATAGATTTTTCATCAGTAAAGAAGTTGAGGGTTATGGGGAAAAAGGCAGGAAGTGGAGTTGAGGATTATCAGTAAGATCAGCTGTGATCTTATTGAATGGCAGAACAGACTTGGTGGACTGAATGGTCTTCTGCTTCTACTTGGAGGTACATGCACCAGAAAAAATGTTAGAGGGCCTATTGCTAGCAGCCTGTGCTGCCAGCTGGTGTGTGTGTGCAGTCACATGCAAAGAAAAGCAAATGGAGCTTGGCATAGGAATTGTTGTTTAGAACTGCACTCTGGCAAGCATCAGTGTCTTCTGAGGAGAAGTGATGAGCAATCACAGAAAAGTGGATATTGTTTGTAACTGATGATAAATACAGAAATATAGAAACAACTGAATCTTAAATGACTCAAAAATTTCAAATAATGTCATAAATGTCACAAACAACTGATTCTTAAATGACTCAAAAATTTCAAATAATGTCATAAATGTCACAAACTTTTGATGATTCAGATCTGTCACCGTGAGTATTAGAGTACTTGGTAATACTTTCTGTTTTGATCGGCCCGATCAAACAGAAATGAAACAGTGCCAACATTTGGAATGTTCTGAGACAGACATCTTTTCTTTCTTAATTTTTCTTGGTGCCATGTCGCTGTAATTGGCTTCCAGTCAGACACCTGCAATTGATGGTGGTGCCTTGTTAATGTTACTACTGACTGATTATTTAGAGGCCCATACTTCTGCTATAAACATTCATAAAAATATGCATTTGAAGGCAAGTCTCAGTAAACTATGAAATTATTCTAGATTGTCACAGAAAATCATCTAGTTCACCAATGGCCTTTTGGGAAGGAAATCTGTCATCTTATCTGTTCAGGCCTGTATGTGACTCCAATCACACACAACTCTAAACTGGTCTCTGAAGTGGCCCAGTAAGCCACTCTGATCAAAGGAAATTGGACTGGGCACAATGACGTCCATATCCCATGAAATTAGAAAAATCAGCCAGAACTAACTTGTTTACTCTCTAAGTGTTGTGGCATGCACTGACAGGATTCTTTGGATTGTGCAATGATGTTTGTATTACAATATAGAAAATCACATGCAATGTACAGTGTGTATTCTTGTTTCTGTTGTCTTGGGCAACAACAAGTAGGGGTTAGGAAGTTATGGTATATGAAACATATAGTGATATTGACAGAATTGTGTGTTTCAGTACAAAGCAATAGCCCTGATAGTAACTCTTAACAATTAAAAAAGATTGCGTAAACTCATTGGCTATTACTGTTACCCATCCTATATCTTTTACTCTCCTTTTAAAAGTTCTTTATATGTTGTACAACCAACAATCGCAAATTACAAAGCATTGAAAAATAGTACCAGGCAAATATAGAAAGCTATACTTAAAGAAAAGCAACAGTTCAAGGGGAATGAACAGTAATTTTCAATGTAGAGGAGGCAACTGCAGGAGTGAGGTAATGACCCCAGGGGAATCCAAGCTGACCTTGTCTCATTCAAGCACAGCAAGCTGAGTCAGCATGAGAGAAGTCCTGGGAGGTTGAGAGGTCACCTTATTGAAGTTTATAAAATCATGAGGAGTATAGATAGGGTTAATGGCAGGTGTCTTTTCCCTTTGATGGGGGATTTCAAGACTGGGGGCACATATTTAAGGTGAGTAGAGAGGGATTTTAAAAAAGCATGAGGGGCAATTTTTTTTACACAGAGGGTGGTTTGCATGTGGAATGAACTTCCTGAAGAAATAGTGAATGTGGGCACAATTTACAACATTCAAAAGATGTTTGGATAAGTACATGAATAGGAAAAGTTTGGAGGGATATGAGCCAAGAGCAGGCAGATGGGACTAGTTAAATTTGAGATTATGTCTGGTGTGGACTGGTTGGACCGAAGGGTCTGTATCCGTGCTGTATGACTCTTAAGTCAAATCAAATCTTGTCTTTGCACTAAAATATATGATGAGCAACATGCACAGGTTCATAATTGAAAACAGAAGATCTCACTGATCAATTCTCCCAGACATTGTTGGGGTTGCTGAGGTCAATTATTTTCCCCACAGATGCTCAATGAGCTGAGTACAAATCTGTAGGTGATTCTGGACTCTTGTTCTGCGTAGGTTATGGTCATTGAGCCAATTTGCCATTTTACAAAATTTCTTAATCTAGGAGCAGGAGTGGGTCATTTGGTCCTTTGAGTCTACTCCATCATTCAACATGATAGTAGCTGATCCTCAATGCTATACTCCTACTTTCTCCCCACATTCCTTGATGCCTTTAGCATCTAAAAAAAATTGTCAATCTCTTTCTTGAGTCTATTCAATGATTTGGCCTACAAAGCCTTCTGTGGTACCGCGAGTATACGGTAATAGGAAACTTGTTTTTGTCACACATCGACTACATTAAAGTTCTTTTTAATGCCTTTGTTTCAGATGCAGTCTGTTGAGGATCCAGAGCCAAAAGGAATGTTTGAATGCAGTTTGTGCAGTCTCAGAGCTCCATACAGCTACCATGGACAAAAGCCACCAAATGCACGGTCTCTTGTGTTAGTGATTTCTGATGTTTATAACAACATTGCACACATCAGCAGACAGTACAAATTCCCTAGTGCCTATTTATAGAATCATAGAAACTTGGTGGCCACGTGGTTCATTTGCGCACTGTTTAAAGGAACAGTCATGCTTAACTCCAATGCCTATATTTAAAGTATACCATCATTATTTCAACTTTATGACCTGAGATTTCCTCTACATTTACACCCAGATGTACTTGTAATCTGGATGCAATTTACATAGGTGTAGTGATTGTCAGACAGGTGGACCTCATAGAATATGAGTTCCCAGATTAGGACTGTTAATCTGGTCTAGTCAGGGAGCTCTGGCTGACAGATAAGAACAGGAGTGTCAGACATCCTGTTCACTCTGAGCTGGCTCTGAATGAGTTGGATCAGTTGTCAAGTGTTCTCCACATGTAAATAAAAGGTGACTTTGGTAATGGGATACTGGCCTCTATGGAGTTATTTCAGTGGCGACAAGAGAAATGCATGCTCCTGAAGAAACTCACTCGCAACACTTGTCCTTGAGGTGGGCATAAGCATTCCTGGGATCTTGCCTTTCATTGGGAAGCTTGACTTGTTTGATCCTGCCATCAAAGACTGGACCCAGTATGTGGAAAGAATGCGTTATTTTTTCTGGGCAAATGACATCGGGGCAGATTACAAACAAAGAATAATTCTTCTGACTGCTTGTGGACACGTAGCTTTTTTGGTTATCAGGAGTCTAACTTTCCCAGAGGCACCAGATACTAAAACCTTTCAGGAGTTGATGGATATAGTTAAGGAATATTATGACCCCAGGACTCGCCTAATTCTGAAATGCTATCAATTTTACTCAACAATTCAAGAACCATGAGAATCCATATCAGGATTTCTGACCAGGTTAAGACTGGCAGAGGCATGTGACTTTGGTTTAACCTTAATGAGATGCTGAGAGACTGTTTGATATGTGGGATTACTGTTGTAACTGTGCAAAAGCACCTACTGGCTGAAGCCCAATTGGTCTTCAAACAGGCACTAAAACAGGACGGCATATTATTATTGGGACCATGAGTGATTGTTCCGAGCAAAGGTCACTGCCAGATACTGGCTGAACTCCACCAGGCTTATCCAGGAGTTTCTAAAATGAAGATATTAGCAAGAAGTAACGTCTGGTGGCCAAGATTGGATGCAGACGTAGCCGCGTTGGTAGTAGTGCACAGAGTGCCGACAAGGACAAAAATTACTGCCAGCAGCTCCCCCGCATTCATAGGAATGGCTGGGTACACTCTGGACTCGGTTGCATGTCAACTATGCAGGTCTTTTTATGGGCTCAGTGTTCTTAGTCATTGTGGACACCCACTCTAAATTGGCTGAATGTGCATAGAGTTCATTCATCAAATGCGGGAATGACAATAGAAAAACTGCGCACATTGTTTGCAATGCATGGATTCCCAGAAGTGTTGATCACAAATATTGAACCATTACTTACAAGCAGGGAATTTGAATGTTTCCTGAAGTTGAGCAGTATTTGAGCACAGTTCCATACCATCCATCATCCAATGGCCTGGCAGAAAGAGCAGTTCAAACTTGGAAGGGAGGTTTAAAGAAACAGCCTACAGCTTCACTAGATAGCAAACTGTCCCAGTTCCTTTTTGATTAGAGGATTACCCCCTAATGCAACTACAGGGATAACTCCAGTAGAGTTGCTAATGGGGAGAAGAATCCACACCAGGTTATATGTGATCTTCCTGGACCTGGGGAAGAGTGAAACGGCATCAGGAAAGCCAGTTGCTTCCTCTAAACCAGAGAGACAGTTTACTTCCGGGGACAAAGTTTGGTGCCGGAACCACAGAAATAGCCCTGCATGGGTAAGAGGCATGATCGACGTGACGTCAGGTCCAATGACGTATAAAGTTGGATAGGTGCAACACGTGGACCATGTGACTGCTGCAGACCTGCAAACAGTGCGCAAACAAAACATGCCCGGCTCCTGACAGCCTTTCCGACTGTTCCAGAGGGCGTGGGTTCTCCCTCTCCATCAAGTGTTGGAGATATCTTGGAATCTGAGATGGACACAGCGGATGTTGCAGCCTCAACACCATTGCCACCTGAAGAAGGCAATGAATTTCTTCCTAGATACTCTGGCAGCAAAAGGCAAGCTGCTGTGGCCACCCGTATCAGAGATAGAGTTGGAGGAACCTGAGCCGGTGCTCAAAGACGCCAGGAGGAGATCCAAAAAAAGAACCAGCCTATGTCCTCGGACTCCGAGATGGAAAGGATATCATGAATGTAACAAGGTCAGACAGATGGACCTTATAGAATCTGAGTTCCCTGATTGGGTTGTTAATCTGGTCCAATCAGGGAGCTCGGGCTGACAGATAGGAACAGGAGTGTCAGAGGTTCTGTTGACTCTAAGAGCTGGCTCAGAGGAAGCTGGATCAGTGTTAAGGACTCTCTACATATAAATAATGAGTGACTGGTTGACGGGATACCAGACTCGAGTTATTTCAATCGGTAGCTTTTTGGGCATATACAGGTAACCCACATAATTACAATAAACCCTGAGTTATCTTGATCTTTTATGTCTATCCATCAAACTCTCTGTTTAATTACAATCTTCACCCACGAACTTGGGCATACCCCAACTCTTAGATGGGAGTATCTTAACTGCACTTGTTCAGTGGAGTCTCAACATTTTCAGGTGCATCGTGAAACAAAGTTAATTTTCAGGTCTTAATTGCGACACTGCTGTTCTTCACAGAAGCCTCTCAACGGATTAGCTTTATATTCATTTTAAATTCTGTACTAATGTGATGATATTGGGCAGAATGCTTGGGTGTATCTTAACACAGGAAAACTGAGGGAGAAATTTTGTGCATTTTCAGGTCTGACTTGGGTTTGTAGCTAAGGATGAAGCTTCATGCCTTTTCTTAAACGAGAATGATATTTAGACTCCAATGATTAAATTACAAAGAAAGATTTCATAGGGAAGGATTATATTTCCTGCAATTTTGATATAAAGGGATAATTTGATCAAAGCATTTGAGATATTAAGGGAAACTGATAGGAAATGTAGGGAAAATTAATTATGTTGTTAGGGAATCTTGGACCAAGGAACATAGCTTAAAGATTAGCATCAAGTCTTTAAAGAGTGAGTCAAGTGAATACTTCTATGTGGAAAAGTTGGTAGAGGTTTGAACCCTGTCCTGCAAATGGCAATTGATGCTAGCCCAATTGTTAATTTTAAATCTGAGATGGATAGATTTTTGTCAGCCAAAGTTACTAGGCAAAATGGGGCAGTTGAGTTAGGCCAGAGATCCACTGTAAATTCATTTAATGAAAAAACAAGCTCACAGGGCTAAATGATCTACTGTTTCTCTATGGAGTCATAAATGTAGAGATAAAAGATTCTTCTACAAAAATCCCTGGGTCACTCATTAGATTGCCAGGAAATGTTCTTGCCACCTTTAGAAATCTTCTAATAGTTAGTTGGTTCTGCAGTAGAATATGTCATGTGCCTTGGTGTTTTTATGATGATAGATAAATAAGTCAATTATCCATCCAGAGTGATAAAACACTTCATTGAAAAAAAATGACCTGACAGACTTATCACATTTAAGAAAAGATTCTTTGCAGAACTATATGTGTCTTTGTACATAACATGTGGAATCTACATGGTCTTATTTGATTTGTCAAGATATTACAGTTAGTTTTAAACAGAGATATAGTCCTTCAGAGTAGAGAGGTATTTGCCTTTATTAACTTTGTCATCAATCCTTCATTTAAGTCAGAAATTCAAAACTTCCAGTAACATCAGATTGATAGTTGTTCTGATTCAAGACTGCTTTTGTACATTCCTCGGGCCCTGAGTCCTCCCATTTTCATTAAATTAATTCGGCATTCATTGTACGAAAACCTAATCTTTCACTGCTCCATTTTGATTTTACTAGGGTCTGAAAAATGGTAAAAACCCACATTCCCACACCCCACCCTCTATAGAAAATACATACCTTATTGCCCTTCCCTGTCTTGAAAACGTAGAGCTCACTAAATGAAAAGTAAGTTATTATTGTTGAATAAACTGGAAAGTTTTTCTGTGCAAGTGACTCTTAGGCCACAGACTACACAGATTCAATGTCAATTTGGTTTGTAATTTATTTTTCTTTTTAGATTATTGTTGGAGTTACCACAGTTCATTAGCCAATATATAGAAGCACAACTGCTATGGGAGATCAACTTTGAAATTACTAAGAAATTATGACTTTGGTAGAATAGATGCTGGAGTTTAGCCATCTATTCCACACTATTTGTATAAATAGATTTTCTTTTCACAGACTCTTAGAGGAATGCTATACCATGAATGATCCGTTCACACCTCAAAGGGACACATTCCTGATTCTTGGCTCCCACTGTTGTCTGTGCAACGCTGTTGTGTGTGTTGGTCAGGTACGTGTGCCACATAACTGATCATGTATCGGTACTTTTGTGGGGAAAAAACACAGCTCAGAAACAAAGTAAGTAGACCGCAGTTTGCCCTGTATCTTACTCTTGGTTCTATTGCTAAGGCAGGTAAGACTGAAGTCATTCCTTTCTATTTCCTCCTTTGCTTGTTCTGCACAGCCTTACTCAGTTGTGTCAAAGAGCCATCCACAGTTTGTCCTACTGCCATTCCTTTAGTATCCCTAAGTTGTTTTCACTGTGCCTCTCTCTCTCAGGCTTTGCTTTGACCTATTCTCTGCTATGCTTTGCTTTCCAGATCCTTGCACTGGGACTTGGCTTACACAATTTTGTTGTGCCTTCTCTTGTTGAAGCATTGCTCACTATTTTTTGAAGCTTCTCAATTCTGTATTTCTGTGATCTTCCTACCACTGTCTGACTTGATATTGCTTCCATTATCTTGATTTGCTTGCAGTCCCCATTGGACCGCCTCTCTGTCATCTTATCTTAATTTGGTTCGAACTTACAAGCATCCTCCTTTGTCTGTTTCTTCTTGAGACCTGACATTGAATCAACATAGCCCATACCCTTTTCGATACCTCTAATTCTCAAAATCTCAACTTTAACTCCTTTAATTCTTTCTGATGCATTGTAAAGTAGGAGTTACAGTTTGAAGCACTGAGAAGGATGCACATGGTTGGCATATGGTATTGCATCAAGGAACAACAGTTAAGAAATTTGAAGAGTAATATAGAGAAAATAAATTCCACGAATGGAGACGGAGATTTGATGGAGACTGTGTTGGTGAGGAGCTTAGGATGACAAACGTAACTATGCATTTCAAAAATGTTTTAACCATATTTTTCTTCCCTTTTTTAATAATCTTCTTAGGAATGTAGCCTGTTTTATACAAAGCGATTCTGCATCCCCTGTGTGAAGAAGCATATAGCTGAATTTCCTGAAGAGATTCAGCTGGACCTGCAGAAGAAAAAGCAGTAACAAACCTCAAGCCTTCAGGTGAACACAGCAAAGAGTCAGCTTTAAGATGAAAATATGGGAGTTTAATATTCACAGTAACCTGGACATTTGAAAGAGGTTTTCTTTCTATATGTAAAGTTTAAGGGCTATAGTTTATTCATAATTTAACTGCCTGCCACTTCTTTTGGAAACACTTGCTATAACAAGAGGAAGCTCAGCCGAATTTTCTGATATGGAATACAATCTATTGGCGTCAGCTGCAGAAATCATGTTTTACATTTTTGCATTTAAGGGCTAATAGCTCTGCAGTGACTGTCATATTGACCTACGAGAGGAGAAACGATTATTGTATTCCTCAGTCACCTTTTCAGAGATACAAAATATTTCATAATATCGAAAAGTCTTCTTTCTGCTCATCATCCCTTCCCTAGGCCGCTCATCACCAGACGAGTAAGAAAAAGACCCCATTCACTGGTTTCCATCTTTATTTTGACAAGAGTACCCATTGCTTTTGTTGTGTACATCTTCCTGACTGAACTGCTCCTATTCAGGTACTCTGTATAGTCATGCCTTTGTGAACACTATTACTATTGCAGTGGCAAAAGCATGTTGGAGCAAAGATATCACCAAAGTTTCTTTAGATAAATACATCTCATACTTGCAACATCTGGGAAAATTGATAAAGCTTGCACCCCTGAAAATTATATATTCATTTGATGATAATTAGACTTCGGTATCCAAAAATATGGTATCTGAAGCTTTGAACCTATTAGCAGTGCTTGATCTCATGCTGTTTACTGGTTTGGTCCTCTTCATTATTTCTGAGCTCTTTTTGGGGTTTAAATAAAAGTGGATACTTCAAGAAGAACAACTTGCATTTTGTGAAATAAATTTAAGGTAATTGAAGTCCCTTTGCGCTTCATCGGACTCTTCCTTGACATAGGAAATAAGGTAACAACAGTTGGATAAAGAGTTTTAAAATTTTTTGAGGAACATAAGATAGACGGACAGGAGTTTAGGGAGGGTATTTGAGGTAAGGGCCTAAGTGAAGTCATTGTCCCTTTCTTCACCCTAAGATGTTCCATTATTTCAAGGGTGAAAGTAGGCAAATATGCTGATGGATGGATTATGTCCTCAAGTCAGACACTGAAGTTGTGAAAATTTCAAGTTTTCTGCTGCTGACTAACTTCCTCTTGCTTTGTTTCTTTTTGAGTTAACTTGACTAAAATACTTACTTCTTTCTAAATATTGGTTTTCGTTTTCTTGAATTCCGCATTTGCTATTCTTTATTTTCTTTCCACATCTCCCGTTGCACCACATCTTCCTCAACCCCACCTCCACCATTTGAAGATCCATTGCTTATGGAGGTGAAAGTATATTTAACACGAGAATGAATGTGGTAGTTAAACCTCTTAAAGGTTCAGCAGTTTTGTTTTGTACATTTACAAATTCCTAAGTTCATGGCCAGATTTATCCAGCGTTTAAACTATTCCATAAATGATGGCATCAACAGTAGCCTGTAATTGCTTTAAAATTTCAGGAAAAACAGTCACACTTTCCACTGTGCGTTTCAGGCTTGAGATTATAAAACTTTAGGTCTAACATAGCTTTTTATTTAAGGTTCTTGTGAAGATTTGTAGCTCAGGTTGTGGATGAGGTTGTTGACTTGCTGCGCGAGCTGGCTGGTTATTGTACAAACGTTTCATCACCACATGAGATAACATAATCAGTGCGGCCTCCGATGAAGCGATGTTGTTCTACTCCACTTGGTATTTATATGATCCGGTCTGTTAAGTTGGTTTGTGTCATTTCTGGTTCTGTTCTGCATGGGTTTGTAAATGGGGTCCAATTCCACAATGAAGGCCATCAATTTGACTGGGTCAATGTGACCATCTTAACTCAAGCTAACCGCAGACACGCAAGGGAATTCCTAGAGGCCTAGTTTTCAACCCATAATGCAATCAACAAACAACACCAAGAGGACACACTACCCTATATCAAGAACATATCAGAACTGACAACGAGACTCCTGCAACCACTAAAAATCTTGGTAGCACACAAACCTATGCCACACTGTGACAAACACAAGGACCAAAGACGCCATACCCATGGCATGCAGGATCAATGGAGTTTACAAATTGCCATGCAATGACTGCAACAAACATTACATCAGCCAGAAGGAAACTAGCCATTAAGATACATGAACACCAGCTAGCAGCAAAACAACACCACAAACTTTCACTCATCTCGGTGCACTCAGCCAATGGACGCCATTAATTTAACTGGGACATCGTGACCATCTTAGCTCAAGCCAACCACAGACATGCACGGGAATTCCTAGTGGCCTAGTTTTCAACCCATAATGTGATCAACAAATGTGGAATTAGACCCCATATACAAACCCATGCAGAACAGAACAGGAAATGACACAACCCAACTTAACAGACCAGATCATGTCAATACCAAACGGAGTAGAACAACATCGCTTCATCGGAGGCCTCACTGATGATGTTACTTAGCATGGTGACAAAATGTCTGTACGATAACCAGCCAGCTTGGCAAGCAAGCCAACAGCCTCATAGCTTTTTATTTAGGTAATAGGTCTGCTAATACAAATCTTTTCATAGCTGCAAGTTGAAGTATGGTCAATAGCAACTCAGTTTAAACCATTGTTCTTAGGTTTACAATGTTCCAGAGATTGTGACTCAAGTCTTAATTGCAAACAGTTCAAAGTAGGGGAGGTGGTGGCCTAGTGGTATTATTGCTGGACTGTTAACCCAGAGACCTAGGTAATATTCTGGGGACCCAGATTTGAATCCTGCCACAGCAGACAGGGGAATTTGAATTCAATAAATATATGGCCTTCAGAGTCTAATGATGCCCGTGAATCCATTGCCAATTGTCAGAAAAACCCATCTAGCTCACTAATATCCTTTTAGGGAAGGAAATCTTTTCCCCCCTTTTCTTACCTGGTCTGGCCTACATGTGACTCCAGGCCAACAGCAATGGAGTTGACTCTTAACTGCCCTCTGGGCAATTGGGGATGGACAATAACTGCTGCCTGGCCAGCGATGCCCTCATCCAGTGAATGAATAAAGAAAAAAAAAGTTCTTTTTTTTTCACTACAATTCTACAAAAAGCTTTTTAGCAATCTGTAATTAACAAGACATTTACTTTTAGTGTGCCTTAGCTGAAACATTTCTGTAAGAGTTAAAATTTCCTCTCAATCATAAAATACAACTGAAACTAATTATAATAGAGCTCAAGTAATAAAAGAAAAATATTGCTAAAAGTGTGAAATAAAAACAAAGTGCTAAAGAAACTTATCAGGTGTGCCAGCATCCGTGGAGAGACAGGGTTCATTTTTATGACTGTTCAGAATTGGGCTTTGGTAATGTTGTTTGATTGTCCAAATCTCCTACTTTCCATTTGTATTGCCTTGAGTTGAAGCAATCAGTTGCTCCATATGGCAGAGTACTGGTAGAATGCAGGAAGTGAGGCAAATTCTATATATCTATTCAATGAAGCCAATACAGGTGCTAATGATGGTTTCCAGAACTAATAACTAGCAAGGGAGAAGCAGCAATATCAGAGACAATTGAAGGAAGGACTATTGAACAATCAAAAAGCTTGCTAAGAAAACTATAAAGACTTATAGGAATCCCAGGCAGTTAGTTAAGAAAGTGGAATACTCAACACGGTATCTCAAAAGAGCTAAAGAGTTAATGGAGTTTGTGAGTGCTCTCCTCTTCACTCTCTCTCTGTGCACTCTCCTCGGACTTATTTAATTCAGTCCCATCTGAAATGAGAAGAGTCATATCAGATTTGAAACATTTAACTCTGTTTCTCTCTTCACAGATGCTGCCAGACCTAGTGAGTTTCTCCAACATTTTGTTTTATTCCATAAATATTAAAGGATGATTGTAGCTGAAGAATGGCTCCTCATATCATGGGCACCATGAACATTCAATGTCTAAAACTGATCAAATAATAAATCCATATGTTAAATTAAAATTTTGCATACAGAATCCCGATTGACAATTGCTGTATGGGTATCAGATAAATCTTGCATACAGAATCCCGATTGACAATTGCTGTATGGGTATCAGATAAATCTTTTCCTCCCTTTTCTGATGTGCACACATCAGAGAACTGGGTTATACATTTTCCATTTGTAATTTTCCTCTGCAAAGATGCATTATGTGGCTTCACTTTCGAACATCTTGCATAACCCAGTCTACATTATTTTGATAGCTATCAAACCAAACCAATCAGCACAGGGATTACATATAAGACTTAACAAATTGTGGTGTCGATGGTAGCCATGATGTGGAGGTGCCAGTGTTGGACTGGGGTGGGCACAGTCAGAAGTCACATGACACCAGGTTATAGTCCAACAGATTTATTTGAAATCACAAGCTTTCAGAGCGTAGCCCCTTCGTCACCTGACTATAACCTGATGTTGTGTGATTTCTGACTTTAACTAATTGTTCCATTCTTGCAGCCAAAACTCAAAGATAAAGTACAATGCATCAGTGAATCACATTTCATTTAAAATTTTGACAGTATAATTAATAACATTCCAACGTTAAGCTTTAAAGAGTGCATGAACAAATAAAGTTGAAATCTTTATTGACAAACGACATAGTTTACATGTTCCATAGTAGTTCAGCATTAGCTAGGTTTTGCTTAAGAGCAATGTAGTAGTTATGTCCCTTGAAAGATTAAATGCTATTTGGCATGTTTGTTTACTGGTTTGCTTTCAGTGTGCGGTTGATATGTTTCCAGTACTTACACTATTCCTCCATTAATACAAGACAAAATAAGGTCCTTGTCCTTTTCTTCATTTGGCCTTTGAACCATTGAGCATTTTTACTATGTTTGGTGCTTCCTGTTGGGGCCACTATATTAAGTTGTAATCAGGAATTTTTATCTGCTTCTTCAGCCATCTTCTCACCTTTGCTTTATCTAACCTAGTATGTATAAGTCTACCTGTATTATTGAAACGCTCTTTTAGCAATGATGCAGTGTCCAAACACTTAAGCTGTCATCTAACAGGTGTAACAGACTTTACATTTTTACAAGTTCTGTTAAATGAAGCACTTAATCTTTCAATGTTTACTCTCAACCATCTGCTAATATGACATGCCTCTAAAGTTGTTCAGTATGAGGTTTCCAGCATTGCTAAAGGAAATTCTAAAATAAAGTTCTGCTTTTGAGTGGACAAAGTATGCGTTAACTTCTAAATAAGGAAGCAAGTTCTACTTAAAGGTATTATTTTTGTCTTCAAACAAGGTGATCTATCACGTCGACTCGTTGCCAGCCGCCATTCAATGGTTTAGACACAAGTCAGAAGCTTTAATAGCAGGATTAGGTATTAAATACTAAACTCACGACTTCTTCCTGGTATAATCAACCAAACCTAATACATGCTTCTTCTGTTGCCATAGTTTCTAGAGGTTTCAGGTAGATCATGACTCTGTGCAAAAGTGAAAAAGGAGATAGCATGAGTCAAAGTCCATGCTACAGCTCTCCTGAATTTGAATTCAATGGAAATACAAATCAGGCATAATGTAAAACAGGCTGGAGTTATTATCACTCCTTTTACATTATTGCACAAAATAAATATCAACTTGTTTGTGTTTACTCAGTGGAGGATAAAAGCAGACCAGGTGACTGCTTTGCTGATCATCTGCTTTCAATGTGCAAACATGACCCTGAGCTTGCTGTCATTAATTATTTTTATTCTCCACCTTGGCCCTCGCTCTGGCTTTTCTATCCTTGGTCTACCTCAGTGTTCCAGTGAAGTTGAACACAAGGTCAAGGAATAGCACTTCTTCTTTTGACTCAGAACTCTACAGCCTTCAAGGATCAACATTTGAGTTTAACAAATTTAGATCGTAACCTCTGCCTCCGTTTTGTTATTTCTGTTTCCTTTTATTGTTTTAATTTTCTTTCAATCTACATTCTAATAGCTGCTATCCAGCACTTCACACTTCCTCTAGACAAATCTTTGGTTACTTTATCCTGTGCTACTTTATTTGGCATTCTTTTAACCATTAAAGCCTTTTCATTCGATCACTCCTGTCTTCCACCCTATCATAGACTTCCCTTTTATTTATTCTGCTGTCATGCCGTTCACACACCATCCCCTGTCCCCCCAACTTTTAATTGCTTATTATGTTGCTATCTTTCCTCAGTTCTGATGATAAGTCACAGACCTGAAGGCAGGAGCAGAGTGGAGGAGTTCCCCAAAATGCTGGTGAAGGTGACATTTCACTTCAAGGTGCAAATTCCTGGGCCGACAGTAATGATCAGACAGGACAGGCATCCTTTAATCTCCTATGAGCCGATTAAAACTGGTTTAAAAATTTACTTAGACTTTATTGAAGGGATAGCATTCAATTTTTTTAAAAAAGCACATAGGTATCAGAATCTTGTCAGTTTCTGAACAGCTGAGGGGAGGTGGCTATGTAATGGTAAGACAATTATGGCTGCCTCAGGACATCACCACGCCCCAGTAGTGTATCAAGGGAACTCAGCATTTTGCTAAGGGGTCTCCTTGGTGTTGCAAAAGTGGCAGGTAAAATGGGCATTCAGAACCCAAAGTTCAAACTGAGTCAGCATATGTCTAGCATTTTGGGGTGCAGAAATTTAAGGGGCAAGAAAGCCACATGTTCAGAAGGAAAGCTTTAGCTAGCAATGAGGGTACAACTGTCAGATTTTGGGTCTAAGAGGAAACTAAGTGAAGCACCAGGAGGACATCAGAGAGAAGAGTAGGACATATAATACAGGATTAGTCACCATAGATAGATCTACCTGTCAATGAACAGGAAGCAGTCATGCTGGGGTCTGCATCTCACTAAGCAAATTATCACGACATCCGTTACCTCACTAGCAAAGAACTAACACCTTGTAATACTAGTTGCTATAGTGTATGGGTGCTGTCAAAGTCATTTTAACCTTGAACCTTTTCACTTGACTCCTTCCAAAGATCAAATGTGAACAATAGTGGCATCTCATAAATGGCTGCATGTACCTGCATCTAGTCACTGACGTCCTGTTTGCTAGAGCTGTCCAGTACATTCATTTAATGGAAGACACAGCATTGCAGGGATGCTGGCCAGTGGGGATCTCCTCCGTTACTGGATTCCAAGGTAGAAATCATAGAACGCCAACAGTGTGGAAGCAGACCATTCAACCCATTAAGTCCACACTTACCCTTCAGAGAGCATCCCACCAACACCCATCCCCTTTCCCTATAATCCTGCAATTCCCTTGGCTAATCCACCTAGCCTACACATCCCTGGACACTATGGGCAATTTTTATCATGGCCAATCCACCTAACCAGCATATCTTTAGACTGTGAGAAGAAACTAGAGCGCTTGGAGGAAACCCAAGCAAACACAGGAGAGTGTGCAAACTCCACACAGACAGTTGCCTCAGGCTGGAATTGAACCTGCCACTGCGAGTAGGACAAGCACTGAGCAGAACATCAGGCTTCTGAAAATGCAAATCCAGTGCCTAGAATAATCAGGTGATGCTCTCCAGTACCCTTCTGCAAGGTTCCCGGTCATTGTGGTCTTTACTGTGCTCTTCTTGACATTGCATTTCAGAGAGGTGTGCGCCTTGAGCACTGAGAAAACCTGGGAGGAGACAGCTCTTCAGGTGATGAATCAGGACCAGGGACTAAGAGAGGACAGGGAATTGGAAGCAGAGGGGTGAATGTCTCTGAAGAGATCTATGTTCCTGGTGCACAACAAAGCAACCTCCTCCTGTAAATCTCCTCTCCCTCACTAACACAAACACACATTCTCCAACATTGGATGCAGGTCAACATGAATGAACATGGGCAGCCCAGCTCTGCATGCCAAGCCATTAATTGGGTCTTCTGCGATGTTTTGTTTTGATCTGGTGAGTTGGATGGCTTCAACACAAGCCATAGATCTCTCCCTCTAGCTAACTGGCAGCCTCAGGGATGACTGCTGTGGAGAATCCAAATGAGTCCTACATTTCATCTGATCCCACTGCCTCTAAATGGATAGGAAACCCATCCACACCTCAGTTAGGGAGACACCCTATGAATGTTTTAACTTTAATCAGAACCCAACACAGGCAAGGCTTTCTGACCAAATTGGATTCTGTTTTGTGCATTCAACCCGTGCTTTTGAAAATATTACCCAGTAAATATGGAAATGTTTTCTGACACCAAAATTGCAGGGCAACAGTGCCTGTGTGGTCACTTGGAACTGTGAACGTGCACAGTTCCAGACACTATGTTGTTGCATCATGTGCAAAGTGTGCACTGTGTATATGCACAGAACAACAGTGGTATTGAAAAGGGGTCTAGCAGCAAAGACCAGGAGGATTGGTTGGGGTTGGGGAGATCACTAGAGAAGAGAGTCAGAGGGGACTAGATACCCATGGGTGAAATTGAAGGGTCTTCTCCCCTTTTCCCCCCCCCCCCCCAACCCGACTTCTCCTCCCAAGCTTTATTTCTCTCCCCCTCCCAACTCCTGAGGTTCTCCCAATGCCAAAATCCCAACCTCCCGAATTCTGATCTCTTCCCCCGGGTCCTGATCTTAATCCCTCTTCCAAGTCAGCCGTTTATCAGCAAACAGACAGCCCAAATTTAAACTTTAAGATGTAATTGCAGTGCATACCATTAGGTGGCAACAATGCCACTCCATATTGAGCAACTTATCTTCCGTTAAGGGACCCTGCAACTTTCAGGACTCAATATCAAATTCAACCATTTTACAATTTGAACACCTTCCTCTGTCCTTCACCTATCTCTACACTCTAGGTCCTGTTATGACATTGGCTGCTTTTAGCACAATCAAACCCTTGTCATCTACTTAGAATCCCCAGTATCTGCATCTTTCTCCCTGGTTTAGTTTTAGTCATCCCTTTGTCTGTCTCTCTCATTCTCTGGGCTCTATCTCCACCAATTCTTTTGCTCCTTTTCCCCTCACCCCACCCCTCTGTCTCCGGCATTTAAAATACCTGTTCCTAGCTACTGTCAGTTCTGAAGAAGAGTTGCTGTTAACTCTGCTTTCTCCCCATAGATCCTGCCAGATCTGCTGAGTTTCTATGTCTGTTGTTATTTCAGATTTCTAGCATCCGTAGTTTTATTTCCATATTTTTGTTGTTTGATTTCCCCATATCGCTCATCAAGTCATTAATGACGTAGTGGTTACAGTGGAGCTGAAGTCCTCCAAAACTACACTAGAGCCGTAAATAATATACAATTGTGCCAGGAAATAGCTTGCTACCTGCTAACTTGAATATATACAATTTGAAAATCTTATATTTACATGGGATATGGGCTTGGCTGACAAAGCTGGTAGCTATTGCCAATTCCAAGCAATTGCCCAGAGCAATTTGACACAACTTGATTACTTGGGCAGACGTTTAAAAAAACAGGAGAGTTAACTACTTTGGTTTGAACTGAAATCCAGAGCTCTGAAGAAGAGTCATATCAGATTCAAAACTCTAACTCTGTTTCTCTACAGATGTTGCCAGACTTGCTGAGTTTCTCCAGCATTCTCTGTGTTTGTTTTAACATCGGTTGATCAATGACCTTGCCTCAAAATGAGGTCAGAAGTGGGGATGTTCACTGATGTTTGCACTATGTTCAGTACCATTTGAACTGCAGAGGTGTGGAAGGAGACTGCGCCCATAGGCAATAAGACCCACAAAACGTCCAGGCTTGGGCATATTAGTGCCAAGTAACAATCACACAGCCAG